AATCATTTCAAGAGACCTGAAAATAGGGCAGAGGATCATATTTCAAAACATAATAACTGAAAATCTGAGACTAGAAATGAAAATTGGTGCTCCAAAAGTGACTGAGCTTGAGTTTTTCTGTGTCTAGACTTTAGTCTTAAGATGTGCAAATCTTCCAGAGACAATAAATAAAAGATTTACAGGTTCAGTTGCAGCAAAATATTGACCCAGAAAGGCTGACTACAAATACAAACCCCACTTTTTAAGTTTATTTTTACATTCTTTTTCCTCCATTTCACAATTATGCCTTTCTTTGTATTGATGTACACATTAAAATCCCATAGAAACATACAGAATTTTGGAGTTATAATGTGACAAAAGATTCCAGGGAGGAAGATACTCTGAGGAGAGGAAAAGGTATATATTTTTTCTAAAAACATAAAGAAAGCACCTGCATATTTCTTGCCCTAATTGGTCAATGCAATTCTGTCCCAATATAAATAAAGCTCATATTGGCCACATGCTGGGGGTCTTTATTGTCTTTACTCCTTTTCTTATTTAACTATTTAGGTATCCAACTCTACAAATTAAAAGAAAACCCACCAATCAAACATGTACACCCACATTTTAATCAACATGGTGACATTTCAGATAATCTCTGCCCTGCAACCACCTTTGCCCCCTGTTCCCTACCTCCCATAACACATTCATTGACATGCACACCCATACATGCTGCAGCATCACCAACTTCTACCCATCCATCTCTCCCTATCAGCTGCTCCCTGCTGCCGTTGTTTTTAAAGGTCAGCGCTGTTTGTTTGCTCAGAGGCCCATCGTCTGATAGCGCGTTGGACTGCGCCTCCCCCTCCACCCTCATCTTAACCTGAGCCGTTATCTCAGTCCACTCCCTGGCAACTCCAACCTTGTCTTTTAAAATGAACACTTCCCAAGGAAATTATGGAGACACTGGCAGATAGTCCACATCTCCAGCTGTCAGGGCGAAAACCATAGAACCGACAGGATGGCGCACGGCGGTTTTAGGCAGATTGCAGCTTCCCTAGGTTCAAATCCATCATGTGACCTTCAGTGTCCATCTCAGTCCACTCCCTCAACACAACATCCGACAATTAATTAGAGGTGACATTATAACAGTATTCTGGAACAAAGGAAGAACTGTCCTGTATGTATTCGGCATTTCCCTGTTGCAGCAAACTTGTCTTAAATAACTCAATGGTACGCTGAGGATATAACGCAACCTTTGGATATGTGGGATTCCTACTGTAGAGAATATTGCTGCAGTAATTGAGCTGGGATGGTTCAGTTTAATGAACCATCTCTACACCAGTGAGCTTTTATGCATTTCTTTTAATATCATATAGCTGCTTTTCAGCAGTCAGTCAAACATTCTTAAAGCTCTTCGGTGTCATTTCACCAGAGCTGGTGAAACATTTTACTCAAGCAGGATTTAAAAGTAGCACTTCAGGAAATTACTGAATTAAAAGGAAAAAAAAATGTTTCGTAAAAAAGCCAATTGAGTATTGAGTGACAGCAATACAGCAATAAAACCAGCTGACCAAAGGTACTGGAACTCTGCAAGGGTTGCTGGGTGACAAGCTAGGTTTGGCTGTAGTTGCTAGGTAATTACACATACTCCCTGCTGATTAAAAATTTGGGAGGATTTTGAAACAACACATTTTCCAGACTCTAAAAGACATTTCCTTTTAGCCAAAAAATGGCTGGCAAACAAATGATTATTTTTTAAGCACTTGTGTTCTTTTTTACAACCAGTGGAGACCCAAACAGAAGAATAAAAATGTGCAAAATGTGAATTTTGCATATTGAGTCCCTTTTAAGATTAATTGGTCTCTCAAAATTGGTCTTTGGGGTGAGAATGTGTGTTTTTTCCATCCTGTCTGTTCCTGTGTTGCTCTGGGATGGACGAGCAACCTGTGCAGGACGTATCCCTCCTCTCACCCAGTGATCACTAGAGATAAGTACCAAATCCCCATGACCCTGCAAGGATAAGCGGGTATAGACAATAGATGGCTAGGTTTAAAGCTTCAAACAAACCCTGAACAAGAGCATGAGAGAAAGAAAGCAAGAAAAATGAGAAAATGGAAGAAAAAATGACAAGGTGACCAGGGTAAAGGTTTTGTATGGGTGGGATAAACTGTGTGCATATGGGTGGAGGAGGGAGGAGTATGGTTTGTGTGGGGATGGAGGGCTGGGGGTTAAAGTCACAGATTTTAAATCAGTTCTTTGGCCTTTAACGGGCACAACAGAAGCCCAGTATGAAAGTACAGAACAAAGAGGCCAGCAATGACTTCGACCAATTAACATTCCTGCAGCCTTTATGAGCCGCTGGGACACGCCCCTTCGATCACACCTCATAAAAGTCACAAACATCAATTCTTGCAAACCATAACTGTCATTATAATCCCATTAAAAACAACCCAGAGAGCAATTCGCATTGAACACCAGAGCCAAGTGTTCCAACAGCGGGGAAAGATTCACTCCACAAGAGCACAAAGCCGACCAAAGGAGCAGGGAGGTTTACTGGGAGCAACCGGATAAAATATGACATGATTGTGACAACAAAAGTTTACCACTCAACAGAAGAAGTTTAAGCTGTCTGTAGCTTACTTCATGTTTATAGTAGGTATTCGGAAAACAACTTTAGCGTTTCACCACAAGAAACTTTAAAGTTGATGCAGGCTCTACAGATCCCCTACTCAGTAACTAAGGAAATGTTTCTTGATTTATTTTATGCAGTTTCATCCAAAACATCCTACAAAGTGTATTTTTTCAACTCTTTCGATGATTAGACAAGCTCTCTAGCCGTACCAAAAGGGAAACCAAGGCCTCCCTCTCATTAGTAAGACTCGAAACTCGTCCTGGGGGATCCAAAGGCCTCCCCAGTCCAGAAAAGACCCACCCAACATTTACATGTGGGGTCCATATGGGTAGGAAATAGGCTGGAAACTGTGTGGGATTGTCTACATAAGCTTAATGCAGAGAAACTCAAGGCAAAAGTAAATACAAGGCTGACTACAGCCTGGACTGAAAGCTTGTCCAGAAGAAGCAGTTGACTGGGTTTCCTTTGGATACAACACATTTTGAAATTTGAATAATAAACCAAACTTGTCTGCATTGTTTGATAAATTGGATTAATTTATTTTGTTTTGAATATCTGCCTGTATAACTGTATTTGACTGAAGCAAATTTTGTTGTGAATTGGTTTTTGATTTTTGATTTTTTTTTAATCCATAAATATAATCAGTAACACTTGATTTGACTGGATGTGCATAAGACTGACATGACACTGTCATAAACAAGACATAGCACCTGTCATGAACAAGAAGGAGTCTTTATGAATGTCTATGACTGCGTGATGTCAGTCAGTAAATGACAACACTTTAATGCAAAGTTGGGACTTTTGATTAACTTTGAATGTAACCTTTAGAGCAAGTATTTATGTAAAATGTCATTATTTAATGACACTTCGTGACAACAGTAATAAACATTCATAAAGACTCTTTTATGTTCATAGCAGATGTAATGTCATATTTATGTCAATGTCATGTCAGTCTTATAAACATCAAATAAAGTGTTGCCAAATATTTACTAAATCTTAAAATGTCTAGAAAATTATCTATGACAAATATTAGAATCTTACATTCTAGATATTTGCATTGGTTTATCAAGATCCCAAGACAATGAGCCTCGTTTATTTTATGAAGTAGTTGTTTTTGTTATAAACAACTGGGTAATATCTACAAAAGTAATAAACTCAACTAAGTGTTTTTTAAAAGAAGAAACTTTCTCCAAATTATAGAATTTTATGCCAGACAAATACACCAGCCTGACCCACAATGACCTCACGACTTCATGAGGAACAAACTGCAAAGGCAACGACTCCACCTGGTGGCTGTGATACTTCACTCAAAACAAGTACAGCCAAGCCCAACATGATCTTTCCCCAGGGAAAAGTTACTTTACACTACCGTTGCTTCCAACTGGAAGAAAAGTAGCATTTGAGGAGATAACCATCAGGGGAAATTGGTCCAAAATCAATAAATATCGAGAAAAAAACATATGATTCCTTGTTTGAAATAAATATGAGTAATTAGAGGAAAAGTTCTCTGTAACCTAACAACATTAAATTAGCTTGATTGTGAGTTTAGTGTCCAATGTTTGAGCCTTTCATAGATTATGTTTCAGGGAAAAAATGAGCTTAAGTTTGTTCATTCAGGTTTACCACTGGAAAATATTTCAGTTTTGTAGAAAAAATAAAAACTTTCTGTGTTTTGCTGATATTTTTAGAAATTTGCAATCAACATTGTTGATTGCAGATTTCTAGAAACACAAACATCCCCCAGTTTGATGATGCATAGAGTTGATTTTTGCTGCTTGATTTATAATTTACAGAGGAGATGATGCAATTCAGTTCAATTTCATTTATTAAAGCAATTTTAGGAAACATTCTACTTTTATAAGTAGTTTCACTGCCATGTACTTTTTAATTTTGCTTGACTAATATCATTTTGACGCATTGTTACTCTTATTTCAGGAAATTTTCAGAATACTCACTTCACTAAATATGTTTTAATTAAAAATGGGTGAGACACAGACTTACATTTGTACACCAGCTTTGTTGTTCTAATGTGATTTTCCATCTGCGACTCATTTGCTGAGCCTCCTGGGTGATTTGTGTCTTAAGTTTTACATTCAAAGCATATATCTGGAATGTTTCTTGTTCTTAAAATTACTTTTGCGATTGTTATTTATTTGTGATAGCTTTTCATTTTACTCTTTAAAATGTCACAATTCACAAGTACCTTATTTAATATTTTACAATGAAAAGACTTGTTTACTCTTTGTTTGATAATTTCTTGGATGTTGTTTTTTTTTTACTTTTATTTACTCTTAAGTAAAGGTTTTGCCAGTTCCACCCACCTCTGCTAATTTATAGCAGCATAAAAACGTCTGTTTTAGGAGTTGTGTTTGATTTAGCATCGACATTTGGATGAATGATTTTTCTTTATTGTGTCTTCCTAACTTCCAACAAAACAAATAGCAGAACACAATTTACATTTACACTTAGTAATTACAAGTCATTCTTACATACTGCTCAATTTTCATACCCCGGTTGTATCAAGACAAAGTTAAAACACAACTTCAGGTAAAAAAAAAAAAAAAAAAAAAGGCAAGAGATTTCTGACACTAAAAACATAAAACTAGATTCCTTCGCTCTTCACTGTGTCTTAAATCAACGTAGCTTCACAATTCAGTTTTTACACATTAGAACATTCTACTTCTCTACGCATCATTTAAACATGGAAGCTCCAACGGTCAGAATGAGCTCATACGGTTTTAGCATTGACCAAGACGACGTCGGTCTTCCTTCTCTGTATCTCTTTGTACATTTGACACCAAACGCAGGGAGTGCAGAAGGTGGAGCACACACAGTCCCTCACAATGGAGCCCTGTGGATCAGACAAATTTATTTGATCAATAAATCAAAAAGATTTGACTTAGAAACTCAAACTCAAACTGAATCTGTTACGTAGGAAATGTTATTTTTGGTGCAAATTATTAAGAAAATATGTGAATTAGACAAAGATAAATGGAGTAAACTCAAATGTTTAACTTCAACACCAATTCCATTCCTAATTACTGCCACACATTCAGAGTTAGGAAATCTCCTCATCTGGAACTTGACGACATGGAGGATGCTAAGAGGAAAATATCATCCAAACTGTTCTTGCAAGTGGCTTTTTGATCTCCCACAATACCTCTTAATTACTGGCTAAAAATAATAAAGAACTAACTAATATTTTAAATAAGCATATGTGCAGGTCTCAGCAGTTGTTCAGTTTTGTCGTGTAATAACTGCATAATTGCATTGATGTTCCACAACAAATATATACATTAAAAGTGCAGATATTATTTATTTAGATCTGTTTCTCTTAATATAATATTGGAAACTGGAAGAATTGTGTAATGTGTTTCACTTTACTTTATTTCAAACCCTTATTTAAATAGTCATAAAACTGAGGTTCTTTAAAGATGACAACACATTGCCTGCTGCAGGTATTTCAGATCAGTTTTCCTTTTCTCAAAAGGTCATGTAACATTTGTGGCTATAAATAAGTTTCATTTGACTGGACTGAGGGCCAAAATGACTCTTTGGATTGTGACGGTTGCAGTCCATGGTCTAGAGAAACTTATAAGGTCACTCGGGGATTCTGGTGAACCACATTGAGAGACATGATCCTCACACCGAGGCAAAATGAAGCAGAAGTTGGACCAAACTGACTACAAGAAAACATGAACGACTCATCAAAGAGATCACAGAAAAACCCAGAGCCAAACCTAAAGCACTGCCAACCAAAACTGACTAAGTTCTCTAGCATGAAATCTTGAATCTGGCTAACAGTTAGTGACCTTCAGAAAGAATAGTCCAACTCTGAACGGCTTAAAAATATAAAATAAGGATTTAGAGTGGTCAACATCTGTCAGAACCAATTGAGAGAGTGGAATTAAAACTGTGCTTTGAAGACGTTTGGGCTAAAAGTCCTCCACAGATTCTTCCATTGTCATGTACCTCGATGTTGTAGCGCTCTCTCATACTGGTCCTCATGGACATGGTGATGGGTGACATCCAAGCTCTAAAGAATTCCAGCAAGGGGAGACAGAGACCCTCGCCATATTCTTTGGTAGTCATGCAGGCAAAGCAGGGGCAGCACCAGAAGCCAAGACAGCCTGGGGGGCAATAGAAACAGGAAGAAGGGTCACAATGATGTACTCACAAATGATTGACACAAATATTCAAAACAATAACATGGCTTGTTGGTATTATTAGTAAGGAATGGTGATGTCCTGGAAGCCACCTGGTTTCCATTAACCCTCACATATTTCCTCTAAAACTGCATTCTGCACATACTTTTGCTGTGGTGTCATCTCCTTTCTTCTCGGAAGTTAATTAGGTGTTTTTACAGAACAAGTTTCAGGTGAAGTTACAGTATATTTATAAAGGGTTTCACCCTCTTACATGATTTTAAGTCTTCCGTGCAGTCACAGATGCCACTCCCCCAGTCATGAGAGTTTGGGACATCCACTGGGTCTGGATGAGGCTGGCGGATCACGACTTTTTCCATGACAAAGTCTACAGGATAAAAAAAGTCATCACTTATGTAAAACAAAGCATTTAGATAGATCACAAGTATTCTTCTTTTCTTTCTAATAAGTGTTTTAGTTTCAGCCTGAAACAAAACAATCCATTAAAGGTGACCAAACGTTTCATCATAATTTCATGCTTATCAGTTAAAAACCCTGATGTTATCTTGTGTAAAGTCAAGAGACGGAGACGTCAAAATTACACAATAAATATCTATTTTTTTTCTGATAAATGTAATTATTTGCATAACACCAAGGAAAAAACATAAACAACTTGTTGACTTATTTTTTTTAAGAAAATTACTAATTTTGTGTTTCAAATGCCTCATAAGCATTTGTAAAGCTTTTTTCCTTCACAAATGTATTTAAGATAGAATATGGCTTTCTCTTATATATTTAAATTTGAAATAAGTGAAGGACAATTAGGCGTCTCATGATGACAAATTTTGCTGGATGATAAATTGTTCATGAATATTGTTGCTTTGAGATCATTTTCAAGTTATATAATGGCAATGATACAGTAATGTAACATATTAACAAACTTCAATAAACTTTCAGTTCTAATGAACTGAAGCTGGAAGACATATTACATATCCAAAATAAAAAATTCAATTCAATTAAATAAATTTTTTTCAAAAAAAGAAACAACAAACAAGTTAAATTATGAAGTCTGTCTAAACAAAAGTGTCCTTCAATAAAAAGGCCCAGTTGAGACCAAACCACCAGCCTGAAGACGTTTGGCGTCCAGTTCTTAGTAGAAAAACGAGAGAAAAGGGAAAAACAATAAATCCTGCTATTGGAAATGATCAAGCTTGAATTAATTTATAATTCAATTAATGGATTTGTTGTGACAGGCCTATGAACAAACATTTTAATCTGACTGTCTCACCTTTCTGTGGTTGATAGCTGAGTTTTGAGTCCAGACGCAGCTGATCCTGGCTCTAGAATGAAATACTTTGTCTCTGGCAGAACCAGAAGTTATCACATCTCAAACTGGATATACTGGTTGTTCCTGCACTAACTTACCTTCTTCCCCCACCTACTTCTCATGAGCTTGGCTCAATCAAATGCAGGGTTGGGCAATTCAGCCTCTCAGCACATCAGAGCATGAGGTGGACAAAAATCCTGTGACTTTTCTGAAACTCCATTCCTAAAGGTCCTTGATTTGAAAGCATTGTTTACTGTGTGGATCGATAATAAGTAGGATGGACTATACACAGAAAAGAGTAACAACTATGTCAAGATACTCAGGTAAAAGTAAAAAAGTACCATCTAATAAATTACTCAAGTAAAAACATATTAAGAGAAATGACTGATCATAACATAGGATTTATTATTTAAAATGATGTCATACAGACAAACATATAAACTTATGTGCATATTCTGGTCATATGAAGACTAAAATGAATTACATTAACTTAAATAAATAGTATAATAATGAAAATAACTACAGAAGAGGATTAGGGCAACTAAGCCTCTTCCTCTTTCTTTTCTGCAGAAAACTTTCAGCAGATTTTGAGCTGGATAAGAAACAGGTTCAGAGGACAGAAATCCCCATGAGTACAACAAAGCTGGGTTATAAACTCTAGCTTCAACATAAACTCTAGCTGTGTGTCTGATGCATTTTTGGTTCAAATATATTTGTTCTTCATTCAGTTATGTATGAAGAGTTAATTATTTAAGTGACAGTAGCAATATTTCAGAATAACTCAAGTCATTTTTCTAAGTTGTAGTGAAAAAACTTTTTTAAAAAAACCGACTACATCTTTTTGTCAACTGCCTGTTGATGAATTTTCAAATAATGTTTTGAGACCCAAGCAACGGCTAAAATCCAGAAGTTACATCAAAATGTTTCCCAAAATGTTTCATCCGTCTTCCCTTCTTTGCTTCTTTCACCAATAGTTCTAAAATCAATCTCTATTTTTGGACTTTTGTGTAAAGAAACTGCTTTTTGAAAAGTTAGTGTTTTGCCATTGAACAGGATTGTATAATCAAAACACTAACATGGGGCCCTGAACTCATTTTTGAATTTTCTCAGAAATTGTTGCTAACTTTTTAATGCACATTTGTTTATACAAAGATGATCAACAACAGTAAAATTAAAGTTATTCTTTTTACACAGTAAAATCATTAAAGTTGTCATTGTAACTTTTTGTGCCCTCTGACTAAACACTTTCTAAACCTGGGTTTCTGTTCTGTTACACTAGCAAGTGTTTTGGGAGTTTGCACATCATGAGACTTGAGTTTTCTGATTAATAAATTAGAATGAGGGAAATTGCATCGAGAGCACCGGTGAACAGGTTCTTAGTTGGACCTAGCTCACGTTTTCACACACAGTCATACCAAAAGTCAATCTAGAGAGACCAATCAACCTGACAGTCATGTTTCTGTGAGAGAGTCAGAGTTTAATCATGCTCATATTTGTAAAAATTTGAATTGGTCAACCTATTAGTCACAAAATGAATCATTAATACTCATTACATTGCATAGCTGACTGACATAAGGATTTGTTTGAGTTTGTTCAAGCTGTTGAAACAAATTATTATCCCGCCTTTTAGGTTGACTCAGAAACTCATGTTGATTATGTAATTATTCACTATGAACACAAGATCGCTAGCAAGAGGGCAGCAATGATTCACCTAAAACTATTTTCTCAGCTTTATGTTGAAGACGAGTTGGGGCTTGTTTGCAGTTACTAACAACTGACCTGTGGGAAAGAAAAGAACAAAAAACATGTTCAGGCTTTTCAGTCCGAATGGCACAATGGGAGGACTGGCTTTGTGGTGGTTCTTCATTGAAGAAGCTGTTTTGTTTTTAATGTTTGATGTCATGCAGGACCTCAGACAGCATCGCTTTTTATAACAAAGCTATGCAAAGAAGACTTTCATCTCTGGATCTCTTCTCAATAGATGGAGAGAGTCAATAAATTGAAGGTCAACATGGACGAGTTTTTGTCATTAAAGAAACTTGTGGATCTCATTTTTCAATTTCTTTACTTCATGGTGTCTCTGACAGAAAGTCCAGTTTGATATCTGGACTGTTGATTCATAATATCTACTAATAGTGATCGTTATGACTTCAAGATCCAGTTTTTAGAACAAATACATAGAAATGTCCAATACCATTTACATTTTGGACATTTTTAAGTGAATTAAGAAGCCAAACTCTTTCAAATAATTACCAGTTTCACACTGAAAATGTTTAGTGACATGTAAAGTTTTTATATTTTCTGCATCCTCATTTTTTTCTCTTCCTGCAGTGTCAGATTTCTTCTTGCTGTTGAACTGAGAAAAAGTCAAACCTTTTCATTTTTGTGTTGCTGGTCCATGCAAGATGCCAAATATGATAATATCATATTACCAAATAAGTGTTTATTCTTTAATCAAGAAAACATTCCATCCTTAAAGAGTAAAGACTCGAACCATTCAAAAGTCAAAAACTTTCAACTTTTGAACCTTTGAGAAAATCAGACTTTTTAATTTTTGACGTTAATCTGAAGATTTCTGAGTTCTTTGTATTTCTCCTCTTTTTCTATATAAAAGGCCCTAATATGTAGTTATTGTTATCTGACTAATAAACCTCTGTCATCTTCTGTGTGAAGCTCCATCAATCCCATCATGTTTCAACAGGTAAGAGTCAGACAAACCAAATGTCTGAGGTTTAAACTTCTTCCACAGTTTGAAGGAGTTTAAATCTTGAATACTTTGAAGGTTTATTTAAACCTTTGACTTTTAACTTTGATTAGATTACAAAAAACAGCTTTTATTTTCTTTTTTATATTCACTAATAATTTAAAGGATTGAGAAAATTGTGAGACTTTCGTTTGGCAAATAAAGATTTTATTTGACAAATAAAGATACATCTGATCTAAATTTGCTGTAAATATATTTTAGATTAATATTTAAATCTTCACTAATTTTTAAAGGGTGCATTTTCAATTACATATTAACAGGCAAGCAAAAAATTTGCAATATGATCTGGATTATTCTAAAATGTTTATTGATTCTTTTAAACCACAGTTTGTGATTTGTAAAGATTTGTGGAAACAAAAAGGGGATTCATGAACTAAATATCATCTCCTAAATCTGGGTCATTCATTTCATCCCTGTTGGTAACTAATCAAACATTCCCTCCATGTAAAGGAAAAATAATTCACACCTTGATTTTAATGAATCATTTCATTTTTGGAAAAGATTTTCAAGACATATTGCAGGTTAAATAAAATAAAACAAAGACAAGTTCTGGGAGCCTGGCTGAGGAGAAGGTGGATAACTACGAACATCTGGTGACTGGAAACAGCAAGACATGATAAAAACATAGCAGCTAAATAAATCAGAAATATTAAAGTTTTAGCTTCTCTTTTACTTTTCTACATTTTTCCAATTGTTTCTACAAGTATTTAAACCTAAATATATATGAGAACGTAAAAGCCACTAGTCCAGGAGTTTTATTTATTTTCTGTTCACCAGCTAAAATTTAAGACTTTTTAATGCCATTATGTATGGAATTTAAGACCTGTATTGTGGTAGATATGTACAAAAGAACATCATAAATAAATACATCATACTACTTGGTAAAGGAAGAGAGACAATGCAAAGACGAACACAGTCCAGCCCACTGGTGATAAACTGGTGATAGACTTGTAGTCACCCAGAATGGATGAGTGATTATTAAATTAATCACTCATCCATTAGTGATGGATAATCACCCTGCAGCTTCATCCTTGCAGGGTGTAGTAACAGTTATTCACAAGCACCTTGCATCACTGAACACAGTGAAGATATCTGCACGACTCCAAGTTTTGCTCATCAGTGAAATTCCGTGAGAAAATAGGAAACAACACAAACAATATTACATTAAATAGTCCTGCCACAACAAAATTTAAGACGTTAAGAAGTTTTTTTTCCCAACAAATTTGAGATATTTTAAATCATGGTGTGTGACTTGAAGGCTTTCATACCTCAAAATCTCACTGACTTAATGTATTACATCAATATTTGTAGTTAATGAAACGTGCCTTCAAAGTTAGAGGAATACAGCTTTGATTTTAGTTATTTATTTTTACCTTTATTGGAAAAAAAAATGTAGATATATGTTGCAGGTTGAAGTAAAAATGGAGGTAGCAAGTACTGAGGCTCAGGAGAAGGTGGACAACAGGGACATCTAGTGAGTGGACATAGCAAGACGATAAAAACAGTAAAATAATCAGAAATAAATGTGCATTTTTCCAATTGAATATTATTGATTATTGTCTTCATCAAGCTTAAAAACTGGTACAATTGTATTTTTGGTCATACAAGCAAAACCCCAAATAGAAAACAATGTTTTTGGATTTCATTCAAAGCCATTTGTCTATATTCGTAAAGTTTAAATCAAGTCATATTGTTCACACAGATTGAGGTTCTTCATGCTGATTTAGAGACATAGATATTCTTCAATATCAGCCCAGGTGGTGGTTTTGTGGTCATATGGTTTTGGATGCGATCATGACCGGGGCATTCCTCTTTTCTATCTCCCTGGCCATCTGACACCAGATGCAGACGGTGCAGAAGCTGGACAGCACACAGTCATTAGGAAGGGAGCCCTGAGGATCAAAGCACTTTGAATTTCAATAAATGCTTTTTTGAACACGGAACTAACAATATGAAGAAAATAGAAGAACGCCTTTGTTTGTTTTTCAACTGACAACTCACATCGATGCCATAGCGGTGTCTCATGGAGACCCTCATACCCAAGGTTATGGGTGGGACGCACCAACCAAAAGCATCCAGCAGGGGGAGACAGAGATGCTCGCCGTAGTCTTTCGAGGTCTTGCATGCGAAGCAGGGAAAACACCAGTACGCAAAACAGCCTGAAAAAAATCAAAATAAAATAGAGAAAAATACACAATTATGAACTGTTCTTATGCAGTTGCTATAGAAACACATCAATGAGGACGTCTCTGAATCTGTCTTTAATGTGTCAACCTGAGTCATGTTACTTACATGTTTTTAAATCACCGAGACAATCGAACAGTCCAGTACTCCACTCTCGTGGGTTCATGACCTCGACCACTTGTGTAGGTGGCGGTTTCTGAATTACGAGTGTTGTTGACATGATAACGTCTAAAAGATGAGAGAAAAACACATCCATTCATTTACCCAAAGACATGTTTGGGTAGTTATGAAGAGATTCAGAATTACCCAAAGCTATGAGTCATTTTGTGTAGTTTTTTTTTCTTAACTACCCAACGGAAAGCTCTTTGCTTTCACTTTCTATGTAAGTGGCTGCTTAAACACCAATAAAAAGTTTCAACAGGATTTTGAAGTTAATGTGATTTGGATTTAAAGGGGACAACAAAATTTAATATTAGAAGCAACTCAGCAAGTCGGATTTTACAGTGCATCAATATCTAATAGCCACACTGATATTTTAAAATGTTAGATAACCGACAAGAAGAAAAACAATCCTATGTATATTTAAATGAACAAAATGAAGTACATGCTAGGTATGCCACTTTTCTTTGAATATTAAGAGGATTTCTCCGTAATAAGACTATAATATCTAGGTTGTTGTTGCACCAGATAATCAGAAAGTTTGATGTCTGACCTGTTGTGCCTGAGCTCTGGGTTGAGCGTCTTCTCACAGTTGATCTCTGCTCTGAATAGCTTGGACTTGAATCAGATCAGCAGTGAGTTTCAGGGTGGAAAAGTAAGCCAACCAGACACACCGGTTCCATGTTATCTTTTTTTATGCCTCTGAAACAAAGAGTTTATTTTTAACTTCAGGCAATAAGCAATGGGTGTTGAGCCATGTCAGGTTCTACGTCTAGTGTAGTTTTGGAAAGGATTTCTTTTTTTTCTTTATAATGTTTTGAACTGGACTGTTAGTGAGAAACAGAAATGATTTTCAAACATTCAGAGTCAGAGAGAGAATCTCAGTCAGCAAGACATCATAAAACAAACAGGAAACCTACAAAGATGACTTGTGAATAAACTTTCCACCTGCAAGGCCAAAAGCATTTTATTGGAGTGAATCATGAGAGACGTTTTACCAAAATTGCTGCAACAATAATAATAAACAAACATGAGATGTAGTTTCACTGATTTTGTTTTATTTAAAATAGTGAAAGAATATAGTTCACAAATATTCACACATGAAAACTCTTTCATATGGAAATGGAAAAGCAATTTTTCCTATAGAGCAGCATGTCAACAACCAGCAACTCATCTGGCACTACAACCATGAACAACCATACAAAAAGAAGATCTGCTGTTAATTAGACACAATTCTAAACAGTGTCAGTTATTGGTTTTGATTTGAATTGTCTTGTTTTTGGCCAATTATTTGGCTGAACCTTATTAAATTTGCGCTTACACAAAATGGATGGAAATAACCAAGCTACAAGTTTTACCCTTCCTAGGTATATTAGCAGCTAGTCAGCAGTAGCTACAATCACCTTGACTCACAGAACACAGTGAAGATGTCTGCATGTGACTCAAACGTTTTGTACCACAGTGAAGTCTTGCACAACAAAAGAAAACTACTCAGAAAATATTAAATAGTCCTGCCACAATAAAATGTAAGATCTGTGATTAACATATTTAAGGCCAAGTTTGTCTCTGCAATGAATTTAAGACATTTCAAGTCCTTAATTTTTAGATACATCAAATTAAGACTTTGTAAGGATATAAAGGCACCCTGTAGGACAGTTCTCACTGTGTGCACTGATGTGTACAGAGGTGTTATAGGGGTCTTATGTATTAGTGGATTTCTGTTTTTTGGGGCTGAAATCAATATGGCCCCAAAAAGGGGTTAAGATGAATATGCAACTAAACGCATATTCATCTTAACCCCTACAAATACAGATAAAAGACTTTGGACAGAATTTGTCAATATGAAGATAGAATACAATAGTTTTACTCAGATAACTAAAGAAAGTGCAGTTTTATGTTCTAGTTGTGTCAGCGGCAGATCTGGAGGTACTATACTGTGCTGACTGCACCATCTGTGAATTCTACTGATAACTGCTTTTTGACGTTGTCCCTCTGCCTGTGACCTCAGCTGATGGCCACGATAAGAGAGTCTCATCCTGTCAGTGAACTTTACTCCAGAGAGAGGAGAGGGGCAGCTTCTGCTCAGCATGTGATAATGGCCTTTTGGGGTCAATGATGAAGTGATTCGGTGTACTCTTTAAATATTGCAGGACTACATGTGCAACACCTGCAAACAGTACAGTGCATACAAGGTGGCGGACTACAACCCAGACCTGCTTCCGTGGCACACTGGAGAAAAACAAAGGGTTAAAAAGATTCATGCAGTAGCGGGTCTGTGTCATGTGCAGTTGATTTTTGAGTAATTGTTTGAGTGATAATTCTGAATTTGATCTGTGCAACTAAATGCATATTCACCTCAGACCAGTTGAAAGTAATATTAACACAATTAAAATGTTCTGCTATTTTGCCCGTCCTTTCTACATCTGAAGTGATCAAACATTACATTTTAAAAATTGAATTGTTTTGTATCGTTTCTCAGGTTTATGTCATTTATATTTTCTTACCTCAAATTAGTTCAGAATTGCATTGTGCTGGTGATATACAGTTTAATATTTTCTGCTAACACCAACCACAGTCACTAAGTGTCATTATAATATCAATACATGCCTGGAGCTGAATGCTTCAAGCTTATTTCGGAAAATATTAAAGACATTTATAAGGTCAGTGAGCATTACAACTAAAAATCATGTACAAAATAGGTGCTGATATACATTCAGACTTACATTTCTGACATTCACAAAAAGTACAACCAAACTAGGCTACTATGGTCTTCAATTACTGAAAGAAATAAGAGTTTTGTCAGAAACTGGTGTACTTTATTAGTTTTAGAAGATGTTAGCTGTGTTTTTACTGGTCTCTAAAAAAAATTAAATTCATCATTTGCAGTCCAGACCAAGGTCAAAATTCTGCTAAAGAGTCACCAGTTTGTCACCAATCCTAACCTACGGAGAAATAAATTATTTTTTTTAAATAATGATTTATCAAAAGAAAAAATGCTACCCAAACCAACCTAACTCTTTGTGAAACAGAAACCAAGTAACCACCAAGCTTAAGCACCCCAAGTTCACACAACAGCAACAATGACCCAGAGCATACCAGCGAGTTTACCTCAGAATTGCTCAAAAAAGACAATTTTGAAGTGTCCTAGTCAAAGTTTAAATTCGGTGGAAAGACTTTAAAGATACCATTTCTACATGAAAAATCATTGAGTGTGGCTAAATTAAAACAGTTCTGTAAAGAAGAGAGGGCCAGTCCACAGAGATTTCAAAGGTCGCTATCACAAACACTTTTTGGTGATTCTTGAAATTTTCTCAAAAAAAAAAAAGTATTAGAAATTAAAAAGTAAGACGATTTACACAAGGAACAAGAATTAATACAACTGTCAGTGAGTGAATAATTACTGACAGTCATGTTTCTATACAACTTTCTTGTCAGCTCTAAGTTGCTGACAAGTTAACATTCTTTACCCGGGCTTTGACTCAGCAGCTATCGGCTTCTCTAAGCAGCCAACGGGACTTTGAAATGAAAAACAGATGTCAACACAGCAAGAGAAGGCTGTAAAAGAGTTGTATGCCAGAAAATTGTATCAAGATGTTGCAATGTACCGAACAAAGGAGAATGATGGAAACTGGGTCAGGTTCTGGATGTCTGAAAGACATCATGAAGTACGTGTATCACACAGTGTCCTAAATCTGTTCAATTTTTTTCCACGAAATAATTTTGGGGAGTGTCGTCACTAAATACACACAGGCTCCCTCTCATACACAAACACACAGTCAGGCCACATGTTCAGCAGCCAGCCTCTTATATCCACCACAGATGAACCTACTGAACTGAGCACAGAAAGACCAGGCAGCTGACGTCTGGCTGTGAGCAGACAGCTCCATGTGAAGCAGAGCAGGAGTCACAGTCCACGCGACGAGATATCCTGAAAACTGATCAGAAATCAGCTGAAATCAAGTAAGTTTCAATTAAATGATGCATGTAGCAGATCACCATTTTATTTCTAACTTCATTTTTTGTGGCTCTGGTAAAAGAAATGGAGATAAATTCAGAAAAAAAGTGGACATTATTCTAATTTAAAGGTTTCTTTTTGTTTTTGATTTTTTTTTCTTTGCTTTTATGATAAGAAAATGTGAGTGCTTGTGTGCATGCATGCATGTGCATGCGTGTGTTGGAGTTTGTAATAAAACCAATCAGCTTTTAAAAAGATAACTGACAATGAAAATACCATTCATATTTCTTTTGGATGGTGAAACAAGGAGACAATAGGTGTCTGAGATTGAACAGCAGAGCAAAATCCGGTCTTTCTTCCAAATGAAGACGTCCCATGCTTTATGGTTGGCTGAAAACATGCTGACATCCGCATGCCAGCTGAATGCTGTTTTAGTTCAAAGCGATTGTTTAAACGAGACACAGATTAAGCTCTCTTTAAACATGGTTGAACATGGTTGAATTTCTTGATCCTTATTTATAACTGTTCCTGGTTAATTTAACGTAGCTTACTATGATTTTCCTTAAGTGCTCCTTCCATACAGTTCCTGCATTCTGCCTTTATTTGAGTCCTTGCAATCAGTTTCAGTAGAAAATATTTGATCCTTCTTGTTGTTGCTTCCTGAGTAATCTTTGCTTTTAAGTCCTCTCAAAACCCTCACCTTAATACATAGGTTAGTCTTTTAGAGGTACTCAGCAAATAATGAGTTCAACATCACCAGATAAATTTAAAGCACTAGGTCAGGACCCAAAGACTCCTCCCAGAGAGAGGTTCCCAGAAAACCTCCAGGAGGAGAAACACACAAACCTTCTTTCACTGAGCCTTTCTGATGAGGAGCAGCAGCTAAACACCAGGCTAGCTCCAGAATATGAAACCTCTCACCAGAATGGCCATCCTAAAACCCAATTCATCAATCTTTCAAACTCAATGATGCAGTTTTTCCATGAATATGAACTGAGCATAGCTGAATATGTTGAACAGCTATCTATCTGAGAGAGTTTTTTAAATAGAGAAACATTGAGGACAAACTTCATGCAGAAAAGAGTTGCAACATTTCCCTTCTAAGACAAAAACTTAGAAGGGAGTTTTTGTCTGTGTGGAGGCAAATACCGACACTAAATAAACCCTGAGCATCACTTTATCCCGAAAAGTTCTATTAGTTAGTTCTATTATGGATCGAACCTGTTAGTTTGCAGTCATTTTTTAATCCTTTTAAAACCATCAAGTCCCTGTTTAAACTTTTACTATAGTCAAAAAACAGAGAAAAATTGTCTCCTGCAAGTGAAGAGAAGTTAACCTACAGCCTAAATCTTAAATAATTGGGGCACAAAAACTTTAGAAAATGTTGCTAAACACAATGAAATAGAGAGTTTTTCTGAACAAAAACAGAAAATAAAATTAAAGCATAGCTGCAAATGTTGGAAAAAGTAACAGCAGATTACAGCACTATAAGAAACGTAGTTTTTGAAGGGGGAAAATTTGTCCAGAAACACAGAAAAAATGAAGATTGACAACAATATTTTTCATTAGATCACACAAAACATGCATTCAAAATGTGAAAAAATTGGAAAGTATTTTAGAAGTGCAAAATTGTTGATAAAATGCATTGAAGTGACAAAACAGCCAGAAAAAAGATGACCCAGAGGAAATTTCACTGGGTGGAAAAACTTATGGAGATGTTTTGAGAAAATATTTATTTCTACGTGAGATGAAAGTTAGATTATTAAATTCCAATTTTAATCAAAAATAAAACCTTTGTTCACTGAGAGTGAACAAAGGTTTGCTCTGCTAGGAAAAAGTATAAGCATCACCTGCTGAGCTGTACATTTCTTCTTTGTCTCAGCAGCATTTGTTGGACCTCAGCAGCCCAGGACTTGACCCTGAACAGCATCTGCAAGATGGAGTGCAGCGGAGATCCAAACGGCTATAGCTTGACATTGATCAAACCGAGGCCTTCTCCATCAACACAAAGCCAGACAGACTCTTTCCTGACCGCAGCCCGGTTGGCCCGCGAAGGACTGCTGGAGGACGGAAGAACAGGACAGCAGTTTTCAGCTCTGAGACAGTCTCCTTCTAGTTCACAAGAAAACCAGGATGTTGTCTTGAAAGACCTGAGGATCAGGCGGTACACCGTCATCTCCAGGAAGAAGATGGAAACTGACAGAAAGACAGACAATGAAGGGGGAAAGCAGACCCCTCATGGTGCCTCCTCACCAAAAACAGAAGCAGAGAGACAGAAGGTGTGTTTGAGTGCGTCTGACTGTCGCTTCACATGTAGACAACCTGGAAGGTTTAGAGTTGCAATATTACCTGTAATAGCAGAAATTTAAGCAACACTATAGTCAGGGTTCAAGACTTGTTGGTGAATTTGTAGTTTTGAGGTTTGAAAAACACCTGAAGACTAATGTTTGGTTATTCCTAACATCAGCACTGTCTAGTTAAAGAGAAAGTCTATGTTTAAGGGTATTAGATTAGGCACTTGACTTAAGTGCTGAGACTACAGGAGATAGCCATTAACCTTTTATTAAATGCATCACCTGAAGTCAGTAGTTTGTATTTGACTGTTTTCCTACTAAGACACACTGGCTTCACCTCGCAGCCTTAACACCCTCAGTTTCAGGGGGGAAAACGTTCATATTTGAACACATTTCAATCTACTAGAGATTAAAACACTGACATCTGGTGGCCGTAAGTGGACGTTCATCTGCACAAGATTTTTCCCGGTACAATCTGTGACATACTTTATTTGGATAGAAGCACATTATTGTATGGGGAAGGAAACTACATTGTCTTTTTATTTTCTCATTTTTGTCATTAAAAAAAACTGAAAAGTGTGGAGTGCATTTCTGTTCAAGCAGTCGCACAAAACCTACCAGTGTTTGATAGGTTTAAAGAGCCTGATGTAATACAGACATGCGCAAAATCAAATGGCTTTTTGCTCAATTTGCATTATCATGGTTGATCAATCCCAGGTGAGGCTCAGCTCGCTGCGAGCATTTGAATGGGAGAATGCAAAAATTCAGAATTTTGAAGAAAAAAAAAATCAGAATTGGTTAAGCTAAATGGAAAAAAAAACTTTTTCATTTAGCTTAAATGAAAAATCTAGTACAAATCCCAAAGTGAAAGTAGCAATATAAAATATTTTTGAGGCTCTGCCTCTCTTGCCTCCCCTGACCACACATCACTGATGTCCCTGGTGGTTCTTGAAGCACCAGCTCCAGTCCACTTTTTGGTGGTCTGGAGCTGGTGCTCATATTTTCGAATGGGTTTGGTTTCACGATTCTCAGGATTACTTGCCCACTATTTTTTTTTTCTATCCCTCACCTCTCTTGTGCCTGGACAGAGCTCTGTGCACAGACAGCTTCTTCAGCAATGACCTTTTGTGCAAGGTGTCAAAGGTCATCTTTTGGATACTTGTCAAGTCAGCAGTCATCCCTGTGATTGTGTTGCCTACAGAGCTGTATTGGGAGACAATTTAGAAACCTTTGCAGGTATTTTTAGCCGATTAGTCTGGTATGGCAGCAGGGCTTTTCAATATTAACTTACAGAATATTCTAATTTTCTGAGATACTGAATTTTCATTCTTCAGTAATAACCCCTCCCCCCCAAAAAAAACAATTTAAATATACCACTCTATTGTAATAAATAAATACAAGTTTCACTTTTTGAATGGAATTACTGATTTATGCACTTTTTCACGATGTTCAAATGTTATGACCAGCACCTGTATATTCCCCATATTCAATACTTTTGAAAAGCACTAATTTTCCACAGCCAACTTCTTAGCATGACCTTTTGTGATTTTCCTTGTGATTGTCAAGTGTCCACCAGGTGGCGACATCTATAGTAAAACTAGTTATTTTCAGGATACTGAATTTGGAGTTCCTATAAGTTGTAAGCCACAAACAGAAGTAAACTGCAGAAATACACCAATTTATACACCACTGGACATTTTGGATCCTTCAGGTTTTTAAAATACTTGTAAATTGGTGCTTTGTAGAGCTGGACTCCAGAAATTCAAACTTAAGCCAGTTATATTTAACAGTAACATTAAAACAACAAAATAGAACAGAGATTTTACCAAATGTGAATGTTTATTACTAATAAAGGCCAGAGACACTGGCTGAGAAGACTACACTGGCAAGATTAAATCTGTCCGAAAAAAGAAGAAAAAACAAAAACAGGGGGACAATCTAAAATCAGCGGTACTTAAATACTCTAAACAGAAACACCCACATTATGTCCTACACAGCTGTAGGCCTTCACACGTCAGCCTCACTCAAATGGTTTTCACGTACTCAGACAAACTTCACAAGCCCTCCAAATAAAAAAAAAAAAAAAAAAAAAAACTCAATTTAAACCCCATTTTGATTCAACAAACCTGCAAGCGTCAGAACAAAAAGAAAAAAATTACTGAAAACTGGTTTTATTTGTCAAAAAAAGCTCCTTTACAGCGCAATGATTTTATACTGTAAAGCCAGCACACATGTAAAATACAACCCTTACAATACATTAGAATCAAAACAGGTACCAAAAAGTAAAAAAATTACAAAAAAAAAAAAAAAAAAAAAAAAACCAAAAAAAAAAAAAAAAAAAAAAAAAAAAACAGATGTTTTAAAAATGGAAAAGTTACATTTCAGATGTTTTCTGTACAAATGGTCTTCTGTCATAAAAGAGGTCTTAGTGAACCCAGTGTGTCCGTCCTGCCGTCGGTGTTACTGGATCACTGGAGTCTTAAGGAACACAAAAAGTTTAAGTTAAACTTGAATTTGAATAAAGTGCAAAAGCATTACTCATTACCAGATAAACACAGAATAATCAAATAAAAGTCAATAAGACAGCAAATCCTGTTCGTCTGAGCCTACTGTTTGGGTTGAGCCGCTGTCATTTAGATTCTAAAGAACTCTACTTATGTAACATATGTTTGTGTGTGACAGTCAGCATACCTTCCACCACCAAGTAATCATCAGTACGGCTTGTAGCTGGTCTGGTGTGCCCCCCGCCTCGGGGTTTTACCGTAGCTGGCATTCCCCTGGTCTGTCATGGAGACAAAACAGGAAAGTCAGACACTTTGGCAGGAAGTTTCTTCACTGTCTCCTAAATATAAACAAAGGACATGGACGAATGACTATCTTCAAATGGTCACCATTCAATCACTGCAAACCAAACTGAGACCAATTGGTAGAAAAGACAGGATGGCAAAATAAAAAAAAAAAAAAAAAAAAAAAATCACACCAAGTGGTGAAGAAAACAATTCCAAATGTGGCTGAAATGAAAATCACTGCATCTTTTTAAGTGTTTTTTGATCATTTTGATATTTCCAAAGACTTGGACACTTCACCTGCTACTGGAACCATCAAGTCATTAGATATAAAATACTCTCAAACCCACAGAAATTACCAAAAACATCTCAAGACTGGTGAAACAAGTTCATCGACTTCTCACTTACTGTAGTCATATCCGGCGCCGTATCCATAGTAACCAGAAGAGTAGTCGTAATTGCCGTAACCACTGTATCCACCATAGCCATAGCCTTGACTGCCATATCCCGGGTAGTAGTTTCCGTAGCCCTGGTTCCAACTCTGGCTCTGACCTGAGACAACAGTTGATCTTGTTCAGATCAAATACAAGGCGAAGGGAAGCCTCTCTGGCCTGAAACCCCCTAAAGAAGACTGGTATGCAATGATGTGCTTCACTTTGGACAATCACTAGAACTCACAATAACTGAGAAACAAGAGCAACTAGGACTAAAACCTAAAAGTAATGAAATAACGAGAGAAACAAGTGATCCTCTGATGCAGGCGTTCCCAAACTTTTCCATGCCATGGAATCTCAAAGCGCATTAACGTCTGGCTGAGGATCCCCTTTCAAATCAAAATTTGTACAGAAACATCCACCTTTAGAATGTCTTTATACTGACTAGTGAATCATTATTACATTTATTTAATATAACTGCTGTTTCACACCTTCTGATTCTAGATGGTCATGAGTTCTATGGCAGAAAGTTTTCAGATAATATGTATATTACCAGATAATACAATTTTTTATTAAAATCCCCACTTTATTATAAAAAAATATGCAATACTTCATACTAATCACATCAAGTTTTACATCATCCCCACAGTTCTTATGGTGTTTGCAGCAGAGTAAGTTCCTTTGCCCTTTTTCATTAAAAATTTATATTTCTTTCTGGCTACACTCGCTTGAGGAACAAAGTAGCTTGATTACTTTTATAGCCAATTTGAAAATGAGCATCAGGAATAACCTTTAAATTAATAAAAAAAGTTTTCTTATCTTCCCTCCAACTGTGAGGGCCCTATATTGCCCCCCGGTGGCACCCATTTGAAAAGCACTGCTTTAATGCATCTGAAACAGCAGCTCTGTCGTTTACCTCCACGGCCCCTTCCTCCCCGACCTCCGTATCCTCCTCCACGTCCCGTCCCGTACTGCTGCTGCTGGTACACCTCCTTTGGCTGGGCGATCTTCAGCTCACACTGTGGAGGAAATGAAATCTGCATCTTGACCTGACGCCATCCAGGTTTGAGAAGGCAAAGAAAGAGGAATGAAAGAGCATACGCACCCTGCCACCTTCGATGGTGTGGTATTTCTTCTCCAGACACTTCTTGACGCTGGCTTCATCTTTATATGTGATGAAAATGAAGCCCCTCCTTTTCTTGGATTTAGGGTCGATGGGCAACTCTATGGTCTCAATCTAGAAGGAGAACATCGCCTTATAAATGATGCAAACTTCCAAGTGCAACTTCAATTTACATAAAAAGGTTTGCTAGAAAATATATGCAACCAACTTTACAGCTTTCTCTACTATTCAACTGGACACCAACCTCTCCAAAAGCGCCAAAGTATTCCCTGATAGCCTCTTCGGTTGCTTCGGGATTCAATCCCCCAACAAAGATCTTCTTAGCAGGCTCTTTCTTCATCGCCATCGCCCTTTTAGGGTCAATCTGACGTCCGTCAAGTCTGTGTTCTTTCTGTTCCAGCACCTAAAGAAACAAAAAGGCATAATCAGTGACTCTAAGGCAGCATCTCAGGAATGCATCTTGCTATTTTAAGGAAGAACAATATAATGAGGCTCACCTTGTCCACACTGGCAGAGTCTTTAAAGAGCACAAAGCCAAAGCCTCGGGACCGGCCAGTGTTGGAGTCCATTTTGATGGTGCAGTCTGAGACCTCCCCAAACTTGCTGAAGTAATCCTTCAGGTCTTTTTTACTTGTGTCCCAGCTGAGGCCACCAACAAACATTTTTCTGCAAACCAAAGACACAAAACACTTCTGTCTCTCTTCTAAACAAAGACGAAACTTCTTCACTTAATCCCAATTAATACCAGAGTTAGCATGAATGTCTTTAAACTCTTACCCAGCATCCTCTTCTCCTTTGCTGGCATCGATCTTGCCACCGTCTGTGCCGCTGTCCTGGCTGTCGTCGCCTCCCATCAGTTCCTGCTCGGCTCCATTCTGGTCCTCGTCTCCGTTCTGTTCTGATGTCTCCATGAGCAGATTCTCTGCGTCTGCCATTCTGAAATTGGTTTCTGTTCAAGAGACTGAATACACACAAGCACAAAATTCAAAGTATGAGGACTATCACTTGAAATGTTCAGACCTTACATAATAGCTTAAAATTAAAAAAAAAAAAATCAAAGTAGAAAAATGATAAGAAGCTAATACATTTGCCCATTTAAGGCCAAGAAAGAGCAAATATTTATGCCTTCTAAAAAATGCCCCCAAAGGAGCACAACTTTATATTTTTAGAGAAAGACTGAGCTCTTCAACACGTTTCCAATTCATGCACTTATGTGAATACTTTTATTTTTCCTAGAGAAAATATTAAACCATGGTTACTGCAACTGATAAATACTAATTCTAGGGAGTATATGATTAAACAAAACGAGTGCTGTAATGCTGATATGGCAAATTAGTTCTTCAAATCAAGTTCCCTCCAAAATATTTGACCTTACTTGTGCATTTTAATTAAATTGACAAACATCACACAAACTGTCAAAAAAAAGAAAAAAAAAAACATGACACTGACATACATAACACTCAATAATTTATGAGCCATAATACATCTGTTTAATTTTTTTATGAATGAATCACAAAGCACCACTTTCTGGGAGTATACAATTCATGTGGGTTATTTGATGAGTTCAAATATGTTGTTCAATCTACACTTATGTATACATTTAAAGTAAGTATTTATAACAATTTTCTTCCCCGGGACAAATAAAATGCCTTGTTTATAAATAATTTGATTTTTTAAAAGTACGCTGCTATTTTATAGATCACACTATTTTTGTCTACTGCATCCGAGAGTTCTAAGGCATTTCCTCCAAAAACTTCACTCTTTTGCAGCATTGATTGCTGCATGCTGCAGTTAAAAACTAAAAAACATCACCGTTTTTGTCCTTCAGCTGTCTGAAAACTGGAACATTTTGATAAATTAAAAGCATATGCCATTTTAATTAACATAGAAAATCACCATAAATGATTAAGTATTCTGCTTTCCTACCCCAACTCTCATCTTAAAATTATGATTGTATGATTTTGGATTGAATAGTTTTATAAGCACATCACTTGAACGCGTCAAATAGGGCCTGAAAGTTTCCTAATAAACTAACTTCCAGTAATAAAATCTAAAATACATTTCTTGGTACTTGAAAACAGATATGAAGTCCAAGCTCCAAAATGAATAGAGATCTTCTTTCTGCTTTTTTACAAATTGAACTAGAATTTCGCAAACAGAAATGAATAATTTAAGTGATCCCAACTATGAAAGGCCTCCTTTGGCAGTATGGCAGAAAGATGAATCGTTCCTTATGATCGTTTAACTGCCAAGATTCATTCATTTCTACAGAGGACTGCACAACACAAAAGTAAACATGAGGAAGTTATGAAAAAAGAGAGCTGTGTGCATCACTGAGGGTCCATAAAACGACAATATATAAACAAAAAGACAACGAGCGCCGCGAGTCTCCATGTTGTTGAGCGTTTGAGCGGACCGCGCTTTGCCTCGTACCCGCTCGGGACGGATAGAAGGCCTCACTTGCAGCTAATCACCAAGGAGTCCATCAAATTACTAATAATAAATAGTCGGTGAGTATACACCAATAAACAAGAGCTAAAGCATACGCATGTATTGCGTAGTAGCGCGGAAACATGGAAGGGACCGTTTCATTCATCGCTTTAAATAATCGCATTCATGACCATTAGCTCCTTCGGCTAACTAAATGCTAACATCAAGACACGCCAAAAATAGAAACCGCTCCTCTCAGAACAGACGCTCACAGAATAACGCCTAAATAAAACTGAACCACCTCACTAAGGTTTAAGTGAGCTAATAACAACAGAATCCGCTGCTTACTTTGCGTGAATAAACCGGGGGTTCGCCGACTCGCAGCTCAAAATGGACACTCCAAATTCGCCGCTAACTCGTGGCAAAATATATACGACCGGATGTGAGCAAGCAGTAGGGAAGCGCGGAAAGACGATGTCTGTGATTGGACAAGGTCTTGCGTTTGGTAATCAAAACTCTTACTCTATTGGCTGAGAAGGTGAAGGCTGTGACAAAAGGCATAGTCACCAGCCGAATGTTCTTTCTCTGTTAGCATTGCTTTTCACGCTGCTGTTTCTGTTTTAGATATTATATCAACGCATACATATGAGAGTAGCCGCCGCATCAGCTTCTTTGCCCACTATACATGAGCACCTCCGCCATATTGTGAGTGGCAAAGTTTCCTAAACAGGGTTTCTGAACAAAAGAAACAGTTCAATGTTCAATTAATTTTTGATATGTAATTGTATGTTTGTTTTTGTAAAATTTAGTTGAATAAAACAAAAATAGCATTTATTGTTGGAACATTCGGTTGTACCGGCAGCAAAGTGTCACACAAGTCGAAGCATCTAAATTCACGCAAAAATCAAAAGAAGAAAATGGAATGAATAATTACATAGTCTACCGTAAGAGCTAAGTTACAGCACAAAACAATACCAAACAGCTATTAAAATGCATCCTCTGATTCAAAGAAAAGTGCATCTGAGTAGAATCAACTAAAACATGTATATGTGCCTGTATACCTGTGCATAAAACAAGACTATTTACAAAAACTAAAGAAAGGCAAACAGGAATGTGCAAATAACAGCAGGAATGTTAATCAAAATGAGAAAGACTCCACACTAAACAGCAGGGATGTGAACATTTCTGAGCATAGGTCTAGTTGTGATAAAATATTCCAGTTCCAATTGCTGGGAGGAGGGATCTGTAATTACACTGTTTTGTGCACAAAGGCTTGAGCACTGAAGGAGCTCTCCAATTCAGCAATAGCTTCATGCATGGGATGGACTGTCCAGCAGGGGCTCCCACCGGTTTGAGGGGGGCACCTTAGGACTGGCCTTCCTCATTAGCTTAACTAACTGCTTCCTCTCAGCTTTAGATAAGCTGCTGCTCTCACACACTACACTATAGAAGACAGCTGATGCCTCCACAGAATCAAAAAGGGCCTCCAGGAGCCCCCCGTCCACTTCAAAGGACCTCAGTCTCTTCAACAGGTAGACTCTGCTCTGACCTTTCCTATAAAGAGCATCAGTGTTGACTCCCGCTAAGTTTATTTTTCAAGTGAATACCCAGGTACTCTGAAGATCATTGAGAAAATGTCTTCAAAACAAAACATCTCAAAAATTAATTCAGATTTGTATTGAAACTGTATTATTCATCTACCAAAGATGAAAATTGTTTAAGTCTGAATTTTAGTTTTCTGAATAATTTGCCTGCTTAGCTCCCAAATCTGCAAACAAAATCAAATCCAGAAAGAAGCATTTCATATGGACGCAACATCTCAACTGCATAATTTACATCATACACACAATGTAAATGATCTGATATACAGTGCAAAAACCTGGAACAGACACCAAAGGAAGCAAGTGTTGCTCAATCACACATTAAAAGGTGCAGTCAAGGTTTTCAGTAGAAATCTGGAAGAAGTTTGACATTTTCCCACAGTGCAGTTGGTGCTTTGAGGTGGTCATTGATACTAGTTGAACTGTCAAAAACCTTATTTGAATTCAAAATCTCAAGCTCACATTTATACAGCCATCACCCATGCCATGGTGTCATGGCACAAAGTTGTTAGATGCCTGGAAAGGGAAGAACAAAACAAAAAAAACTGGCAGATGATGTAGGAATAAATTTATTTTTTAATGACAGTTCATTCTCCCTTTATTCACCCTTGATTTAATCTCAGTTAAAAAACACATAGAAGAATTGCATTAAAATAGCACAATCAGTTTCATAAAAACCTGCTTAAACAGCAATATTTTAAACTATCAATTTAAACCAATTCAAATAAACCAATTTAAAGATTCAACAAACACTGAAAGTCTAGTCTTAAAGTTTCAAAGTAATACATCAAGTACTAAGTGAAGAGCCACAGCCAACTTCAAGATCGAGATTTGGAGACCCAGTGGTACTTGTCGACACGGGGCCCCGCAAAAGTAAACGTGGTCCGATTGGATTTAAAGCCTTTCTGGTTGAAGAACTGAGGCGGTGGACATCCAGTGGAGGAAGAGAAAGACTCTCCAGGGAATCCCTTCCTCTTTTCTCTCAGCCAGGTCTGCGGAGCTCCTGGAGAAAACTCGCTCAACTGTAAACAAGAGACGTACAACAGTTAGTCTAAAATATCTCAGAAAGACCCTTTTAAAATGATAAGCAAAGCTCTTAATGTTGAGGTTAAATAAAGAAAAGGACAATTTAAGAGTTTTGGACAATACTGTGGCTTCATGTGGGCACACCCGGTAAATGCTGTTGGGGTTGACGACAGTTGGGATGGTTTTAGGCTCGAGGCCTGTGGAAGGGCAGGGACCTGATAGGCTGCGGCTACTGTTGCTACTTGTGCTTTTGTCCATATCCTTGTCTTCTTCGTCAGAAGAACTTCCTGACTGTATGTCCAGGCTTGCTCGCTCCACAGCGTCATGGATGCGTCGGGAAAATTTACCATCGCGCCGACAGCTGTCCAACACTGAGACGCAGAATGGAGAGCTGCGTTCACCGTACCTTTGAAAGAAAAAAAAAAAAAAAGCAGATAGAGAAAGTTCCTAAAACATCATTTTGGCAATCTTTAAAGCTGCAGCTCTATTGTCATTTATCACTGCCACCTCTGGCTCTCAGGTAAACAGACCTGCAAGAAACCTCTCCAGGGTCGACCCACACTGTGATCTCCTGGGGCAGCCCCAGGTCTTCGTAGCGCACTGCGCTCCGCTCACAGGCCTGCTGCAATACCGGGTCCTGCAGCTGGATATGGTTCATACGAAGACACCTGAAACCAGATTGCAATGACAAAATTAGAATCAGAACATCTTTGTCACAGAAGCAGAAGGTTTCATTTCAGTGCACTCCGTTCAAAGAGGAAACAAACTGCATAAGACAGGGGACAATAGGCGTTTAAGGCTCCAATTCAGGTTAGTAACTGCATTTACACATTACCATAACCCAAACAAAAACTTAGTTCACACCATACCTCTAAATTTAACCAATAATCACCTCACTACAATCAGAACTTGGTCCCATAAGGCCCAGTGGGCTTCAGTAGGTTAGTGAATGTGTCAGAGAAGGTCCAAGCAGAATAGTTAAACAAGTTCACAACACAATTTTAAACCAAGAGTTCTCATTTTGACCCTTTATAAAGCTTTAAAAGTAAACATGGTATTTAAAAACATCCAAGTTTATATGACAGAGCAATAAAATTAGCTTTTAGGTTCAGCCATTTTTGAGAGAAACAAAGTAACCTACATCCAGCTGTTTTTACTAGGAAAAACTCTGAAAATATATTCAATATACCTTGAGCCCAAAAGTGTATCGCAATGAGATCCCAGGGGCCTCACCTGTAGGCCTGACCTTTGGTGGGCACGTTAGGGTGCCAGTGATTCTTGTAGTTCTCAAACAGAGCTGAGGTGAGGGCTGCTGCAAAACGCTCCCTGCTGTCATTATCCAGGCATCCGTATCTTTTTACCAGCCGTGTAGTAAAAAACACAGCGGCAGCAATTTCCTCTTTCATGGCTTACACACCCTTTACTTTCCAACGTAAAACACAGAAGCTATTCAGCCAAATAATAAAAAACAAACTCAGATCATAAAAAGACTTTTACAATAAGCCTTCTTTTAAAGAAATGGAAAAATAAAATTAACCAGAGACGATGCAAGCAAATGTATATACGGCTGAAATTTCTTTAAGCTCTCTGAATGGGCTACAAAATCTAAAAAACATAAATTGCAACAAACTTAATTAGTTTGAAGCAGGGAGATATCAGCCTTAATGCTAAAAAAACAACAAAAAAAAACTACGTCCAAGGGTTTATTAAAAACACAGCTCACCTGTGTGACAATCAGACGCACCTGAAACTGGTCGGTTTGATGACTACAAAAAGCGCTAACATAATGCATCACTTTACTGTTGAACTGTTGCAGCTGTTTAGACTAAAATGAAACTCATTGTTTTTGGAATAAAGCATGCTTTCACAGTAAGAGCATGTCCTTTATTTAGTAAATATAAATAAAATTAAACCAAAGTGCCCCAAAAAAATCACATAAACCTTCAACATTAACATTCAACAAGTGAAAAGTGAGAATACAGAAAACAATGATACAAGAAAATAATCATTGGCAGTGAAATATTTGTATCTTTTTTTTTCCAAGCAGGCTGATTTATTGATTTACCACCTTCACTGTTAAATAATTTGAACATTTGAAAGAAAATGCATTAGCAGATTCACAGAAGAAACACAGGCCTCCTTTCAGATTGATTTATTGATTTGCAAATTTTTAACTCATTGCAAATATGAAATGTCCTTAAATGCAATAACAAATAAGTATATGTATTTGCAAATAGCTCAATGTAATAATATTAACATAAAAAAATATCCCATAGGAAAGGAGACACAAGTCAGAAGAGAAATTGGACATTTATATTTGAAAAATATTCCCCCAAATCTGCCAAAATCGAACTTTAACAAAAAATATATGCTCCACAAATTTCCATAAAAAAGTGAATTCACAGCTACTTAACCAGTTTATTAAGAACAAAAACAAAGCATGTATGCAGCTATCCCCACACAATAGGCCCTTATTAGGCTTCACACAGCAGATAGCAAATTTCAAGTATTTACAGAGAGAAAAATATTCCAGTGCATAATAAACAGAAACATTCAAGACTGATGAAAAGCTGCAACTTCCTCCAAATAATATATAAAGTTTAACTTTTTAACTTTTTCAGGATCTTGAAACAGCCAAATCTTTCATCAAGATAAATTCAGGACAAGAGAGCCTTGGAGGACCTCTAGTGGTCAAGTTTAAATGCAAGGATAACACTTCGACACAGCAGCTAGATATTTAGAGAAAATATCCATCCTTCACTGAGATGTGATAAAGCCCGTCCATTAGAATTAAAACTTCACAGAGTATTTTCTGATTAGTGCAAGTTTGTTCAATCAGAGAAGTGTTCAACTACTGACCGTAAAATCACAACATCATTCCCCATGCAGAATATTGCCAAAGAATGGGACTTTTCCATTTTGTATCAAATACAGCATCTGAATGTAAACAATTGTTATTGCACAAGTTCAGCTGCTGGAATATCCAACTTTTGATGGTACCAAAAAGCATGCCACAGACTGAACATCAAGACCACGCCAGCTTTTAAAAATATGGAATAACACCCAAACCCCCCTATTAATTAGAACTTTACACAAAGAATGATCCATTTTTTCTTGCTTATTGGAAAATTTGAATAAAGACTAATAATAGCTGAACAGATAAATGTGTTACCATGGCCAACACAATGTAAATGATGTCTTGGTGTCCAAATAAAAAGACAAAAATATACTCAAGATCAAATTCTGAATGGTGATTTTAGAAACAAACTTTCAGAAGATTTAGACTTGTTTGTTTCACAGCTGTTTTGTGCATGTTAAAGGAACAGTCTCTTCAAACAACATTAAATTTGACCAAAAACAGTTATTGAAAGATAATTCAACTTTTTTCCCCAGTAAAATATTTTCATAAAGATAATTATGACAGAGAACCAACTCCTTTTCAGTCAGACATCAAAATAGTTTTCATTGACATTCTCAACATTGTGCAAATGAGCTAACAGCTACATGCAGTGATGGAAGAACCGATTACTTTAATGAGATGAATCCGTTTTCCCATTCCAAAAGACATAATGAATGATTTTCTTAATGCTTTTCGGAATATACAGATTTGGACTAATTGCTAAATGTTGACAAAAACAAGTTTTTGGCCCGAACTCCAATCAGAAACAAAAAAACCTTCCCAATGAGTTCTAAAACTTGGTGATGAGAACCTTTTTAACATCTGGCTTGTTTGTTTTAAGCACAGAACAAAGTGACTTTATGTGATTCTTTGTTTTTGTGTAAATCAAAATGTTGCCAAAGTTGAACCCAACATTTCTCGTAATCTGAACTGTTAAAAAAAGTTCTCTTCATTTTCAGTTTTCTTGCAACCAAACAACCAATCACAACACTCCTCCTTCAATCAATGCATTGCCACAGCAGCAAACATTCAGCAACTTTTCAAGCTGATGATAAGAGTGATGATTAAAGGCATTAACTGATTAAGAAAGGGATACAATGTGTTGAAATTGGAGAACTTTCAGAAGAACATGAGGGAAAAACATGTTTCAAACTTTAGCTTACGTCAACAAAAACCTACAAGCTCACAGCAGAATTTTTTCTGTAAACTTTTAAACTGAAACAGATGCTGTAGGATCTTTGAAATTGACCAAAGTCCTATTAGAAATATTCTTATGAGACTGTATTGAAGGGGTTTGAAATTTTTGAAAATAGATCGTATTGCATATCATAATGCAGTAAGTTACACAGCTGTACTTTGGAGACATTGATGACTGCCTCCTGATAAGTTAGGGACCTTTTTTATGTACTTTCTTTTCTCTCATTTTATTATTTTTGTTTTTTTCTTTTTAATGTGATTTGAACTTTGATCCTGAAATATTATCAATCTCTATCAATATTTAGATTAGAGAAAAATCTAGAAATCTTAATTCCAATCACTTGACTTATTTTTTCTCCAGTTTGTACCCAGGAGTTGACATACAGAATACTACTTCCACATTATAACTATGAATGATCACAAACAAGTTTGTTTGTTCTTAGTAGTTTTTGATTGTGGAGACGAGCAGTTTAAAATTTTTTTTATTTCTTTTTTTTAAGAACAATTGAAGAGTTCTGCCCTATTTCTATTTAATTTAGTCCTGATTCTCATTAATGCTAGTTGTCTGCTGACGTCTGATCAAAGAAAATTAAAATGTTCATTTGCTGGTAGAGCCTATATACTAGAGTCACATGACTGTATTTCCTCACAGTGGACTATGAGTGGTACATAAAAAATTATTCCAAATCGGTTTTCAGGACAAAAAAAAGAACAATCAAAAAGGCATGAATTTATCAAAAAGTAATTATTTTTTAAAACAAGCCTTAAATATGTTTAGATATAATTGAACATTTTCCTTTTGGATTTGTAATTTAGATTTCTTTAAAAAAAAAAAGTAATAAATTTAGAGTTAAAATAATGAGCTGCTGATATTGACGTCATTTTCCTGGATGATTAATTTTCTGTCGACTCAACAAAGAGCGTGAAAACGTTTCTCTAGGAAAGTCAAACCAAACTAGTAGCAGTGGGATCTTAATTATTAAATGACAGAGAGGATTAAAGAAAAATGTATATCAAAGGACAGAATCCAGAAAACAGTCACTGTTTCCTTCATAAATGCAGAGGATATGTGACTCAGGTGTTTATTTCCATTAAAACAATATGAACAGCGCAGACATTTTTGTGGTTTTGAAACTTTTTAAAAACTTTTTTTGTGGGTTATCAGCCTCTGCCGGAACAGAAACAACTGAAAGACATTTTATATTTTCAAAAATCAAAAAGCAAATAAGTTAACATGTCCACAAATCCAAGAAGATTTCTAAACACAAAACACTCAGCTTTAAATCTAACTCATATTCAAGTAAAATCCACATCTTTAGCTTTTAAAAGAAACATAAAATAACATTTGACTAAACATGTTTGGTGATGCGGAGTGTGAATATTTAGGTGTGTCTTTAGACCTATGCAACACATTAAATATAAGATAGTTTAAAATTAAATTTGGTTTTCTTAATGCATGCAGAGCTCCCAGAGTCTTATTTGGATGTCTTGCAATGGAGCAGCTGCAGAGAAATGTAACAGCGCCTAAAATAATCACAGTTAGAGACAAAGTAAAAAACTGAATGTACAGCTGATTTACAGGAAGTACATCCACCTTTAACAGGTGAATAAGACTGTTCAAACATTTACACATTATTTACCCTATCAGGACAGAAATGATCAACCAGTTCCCTATTGCTGTCTCAGAACAGAGGTGAACAAATTCAAAGGAATACATCATTCTGAGGCAAAATAAGAAAAAAACTTCATTAAAATTAGCAGCTTTGTACAATAAAGTATAAATATAAATAAGAATGCAAAGGTGTCACTTCTTTTCTCTTTGGAGACTTTGGTTCAGTTGGGATTTTAACAGCATATTTTATTTTCCAAAATCTTCCTATAGATGAATTTTCTAACTCTTTTCACATAAAAACAGATGTTTTCATGTTTGTTATTACTTCCTTTCAGTCAGGACATCTGTTTTACCTCCAAGCTGTAACAGTTAGCCTGTCATTTGTTCAGTTTTTCTGTGAAGCATACAGAATGGTGGCTTTAAAAAGAATCTTTTCATTATGCCTGTGCCGCCACGCGAAGCTACGTGCAGTCAGATCAGACGTCCCAGTGTTCGACTCATCTTATGATGTTGGACAAATAAAGGAGCAGTCAGTTCAGTAGATAAACACACAAACCTGCAGAAAACCTGAGTGCATGATGAGGATCACAATATATATATATATTTTTTTTATTAGTTTGTGACTCGAGTGACCTATTTGATTGAATCTCCCTTCTTTGCCAGCTCTCCACACACTTAGCTGCCTGAGGAGTGTCCAACGTGACGGCGTGGAATTAAAATGGCACAGAAACAAAAACGGTGACGATAAAAAAGTATTTACACAAGTGCGGTGTGAGGTTCTGTCTTATTTACAGAGAGTCGGGGCTTGCTGGTGCACATGAACTCCTGGCTGCTGCTCTGTTCAAACTCCACTTATCTCTGGGAATGTCCAGCAGAACAGCGCAGTCCCACGTGCGGCCCTCGTTAAAATGGGAGTGTCTTCAGCTGCTCGAACGTGATGAAGAACTGGATCGGTTGCTAAGGAAAAGTTCAGGAGTTTGCATGAAGGAGAAGCTTACTGGGAGTCAAGATAACGACAATTCACCTTTCATTTTACTAGCAAATAGAAGATTCAAACACATGGAAATAAAAAAGAAGTTGTTCTTTACTACTAAGTGTTCTGTGCATTAGTAACGTTTAGGGCTATTTGTGACTTAGAAGCACAATTAAAGAAAAATAGACTTGAGTTGCTTTGGCAGAAACAAAAAAATATTTTCTGCACCATTAAATATAAAATAATCCACCCATTTCTGTCAATTGTATTTAATTATTTTTAACTAAATAAAAATAGCAATAGCCATAGATGTGTAAGCAGAGCATCATAAGCAAGCAAAGTCATAAAAAACAAAGAACAGTTCGGACTAACAGAGACGGATCCTCCCGCTCACCACAAAGAGACATTCAAAGGAATGTCCAATAGCTAGTGGACGGCACATCAACACTCAGCAGCTATGACTTGGTTTTCTCTAAGTAGTCCTGGAGTTATTTTCTTTCCATCTTTCCATTTTAAGTTTTTCATTATTATTTTTAAACACAACCCTTTGGAAAGCTAGCTGTAGTGTCGCACTTTGAGCTAACCTCACTGCAAGTAAACGGTCGTTTGCGTGCATCACCTCGCGGACCACCAGGGGGAGCCTGTGGACTGCCAGTAGTCTGGGGACCAGTTTGAGTAAGACTGGTCTATTGTTTTATTGTTTCTTCACTGAAATAGGTTTTTCTGTGTGCTTTTAAAGGATACAATGATATTCCAAGGCCCCAGTCGCAGCCAGTTTGGCCAGAATCCCTTATAAAGAGCAAAGAATCCCTCGTTACTCCAAGTCTGCATCACTCCATCCAGCGTTCCTTTGTACATGGGACTTCCAGACACAACCCGCTGGTTCATCATGCGAGTCCGAATTACATCCACAGGGTTGGAGGCGATGGCCCCGGCCAGGCCACAAGTAAAACTGGACCTGTGGAAAACAGGTTGAAAGTGATTATTACACAAAAACCAAGAGAAATTTGCTATTAAGAAGAGACTGACATGAAATGTGTCAGGATGGTATCTCCGACAAGGCCAGAGTGAAGGAGGTGCTTCTTTGTGACGTCATAGAAAGGAAGTTCCACTCCAACCACAATGGCCGCCCGCTGGGCAGTGGGGATAACACCCTGAAAATGAAGAAGAGCAAAGTCTGACTTTGGCTTCATCACAGAACAACTGAGTATACTGCATAGGAGTTTGTCAATATTTTCCAAAAATATTTCTATAACAGAAAGACAAAAATTAAGCAAGTAAGATATTTTTGTCCTCATCTTTAGGCCTGGTTTAGACTGGACATGGCTATAGATTTCTGAGTTGATCATGTCTTTCAAAAGTATTCATACCTCTTCCAGTTCTTTTTTTTAGTCTTGTTAAAACCGCAAACTTCAAAGTAGCTGTTGCCATTTTGCAGACTAGTATGAGTGCTGCCAGCAGAGTATGGAGAACCAGAATTTCCCAACAGACATCTTAGTTTGAAAGGCTAATAAATATATTGATAAACATGAAAACAAAAAATTTCATATTCTAATTTTAGTATGTTTTATTTAAAAAAAAAAAAACATGACGTAGTTCCAGTTGGTTGTAGTTCGTCCCCTTTAATTACCGTTTTTATTTATTTCAGTTCACAAAAATGTTTTCTCAATTTCAGTTCTGGTTATTTCATGAGTTTTATTTAATTATAATGACCTTGCCTCTGAAGCCAGTCATCCCTGAACCCAATAAATAGTTCCACAGCACCATTATTCCAAACATAATGGTCAGAGAAGCATCCAGAAAGAACCCACCCTCCACAGCCCTCTGGTGCCCTCATTCTGGTAGATGTTGATGAAGTTGGACATCATGCTGCCCTGCAGCAGGCTGCCCTGCGCTTGCATTCTTATCTGGAATGAAAACAATTATGGAAAGTTACAATTTTTTTCAAGATTCTCACAAATGTATGTTAAGGAACTGGTTTATATGTCTACCACTGCTACAGTCAGCTACTGACTTAATGAGAAATGTTGAGTTTTTTCTTATTAGTGACGTCATTCTGACGTCATCTGCCTGAGTGTAACATCCCTGGAAGAACACCGACCCGTTTCCATGCCAATATACCAGCAAAGGTGCTTTTATGTGTCGGCAAACAGACCCATCAGACTAATGTTACCATTAGCATTCACCTTGAGGACATCAGTGGGGTTGGCCAGCATGGAGGACATCACCCCGGATACGACCCCACAGAAGATGTTGATGATCAATGTCTCATCTGTGAGCCGAAGCACAGTCAGAAGTCACCACAGATGTTAAGTCATAATGGAAATTTCCATGTTTTAAAAGTCTGACTTGATGATTCTGATTCTGTTTGTTTAGGAAAAAAGGTTTTTATTCACAAAACATAACCAGATCCAAGTATAAAGACTTGTTACTTTCACATCTGAATCTTATCTCAAATCAACAAAGGTTTTACATGGAAATATGCGAACGTCACACCCAAATGTTTGGACGTTTAAAATTAAATGTAAAGAAACATATTAACTGTTTTATAAAGGTCAGCTGCACCAGTTGCAAGTATAAACTCCTAATAAATACTGTTTAAAATCTCCATTGTTATTTTGTCCTCGTTTTAAAATGGAGAAACCTTGTTCGAGAGAGAGTGCTGCGACTCATTTCTAATTTACGCCAAATACAAATAAATTGCCAGGTAATGACCTTTTGAAAGCTGGTTTTACAAATTATGACTTCTCATTTGTTCTAAATATAATCTGGATGAACTAAAAACAGATGCTTAAAGCAGTTGCACAAAAATCAGAGTGTGGAAATTGGCCACAATATTCTGAATAACAAATCTTTAGACATAACACCAATAGTGAGAATTTAAGGTCTAATTCTAGTTCAAGGCTGCTTAAGTTAAGTATAACAGTACATTTACCAAAGAGCTTTCTAGTGAAAAAAATACAGTTTTTCAGAATTATACTCAATAAAATGAGTACAGGCCTTCAGTCTTCCCTTCTTGCTTCAGATTGAGGAAAATCATAATTAAAATAAAAATAAAAAGTGAATTGAGTGCAAATTAAATTTAAAATAAGTGATTGGAGCTGAAATATATGTAGCTCTGCAGTTTCTGAACTTTACTCAGAAACTGCACTGCAGTCAATGATGGCAGAGACTCTGGGGAGAAGAGAATGTTGTTGGCAACGACAGGTAGCAGTGGCAGATAAAGCAGGAACCAGTGAGTAGGAAAAAGTCATATAATGAGAGGGGGAAAAAACCCAAAGAGCAGTCATAAACATCCTGACAGTCTGAAAAACATCATGGCGCCGCTTATCTACACACAAGTGAGGCTAAATGTAATTTGAATGTCAACCAGTCATTTTATGTACATACTAGAGACAAAGCAATCACTCAAGTACTTCAATCTCTTTATCAAACCCTCAAAATACTTGTATTTTAAAAAAATATATATCAGTCATATTTTTCTTCTAAAACTCACAAACATAATCCCTGTCTTTAACATAAATATATAATTCTGTTACATTTTATCATATTTATCTTTGGTATCAGACACAGTCAGAGGAAATCTGACCTCTAATTATTAGTAAATTTCTTCTTTTGTAAAACATTTCATCAAAATCAATTTTCCTGAAACTTGCTCCCTCTTATGTAGCTTGCGAATTACTGTAGTCGGGTTGTTATACTGACTCTGCTTAAAATAATAATAAAGGAAAGTTTTAAGGAGTTCTCCTCATTCTTTGTTTAAATGAAGTTGACTGCATTGCTGCTGTGAGAATAAATCTATTAAGCAGGCGTGTAAATAACACCAATCAGATCCCAACATAAGATTTAAATAAGGCATAAAAAAGTGAAGTGAAACTTGTTTGATTTTTCTTCTATGAATGAAAGTCTTTACACCTAAAACAAAAAGATTTGGTTAAGAACAAAGCACAATTAATGCTATTTTAGTCTAGCTGTGTGTCTGCAAAACTGTATAAACAATTCATAGCTTTGAAATCCAACCGTTTCCTATGGAAATGATTTCAAACAAATAGCTCATCCAACTAAAAGAGGAAAGAATGCATACTTAGAAAAAAATATATACAAACTCGTACCTTCTGGGTGAGTGACAAACATCCTCTTTAGAGAGTTGTACGTTCCTATTTTGATTGTACCGTAGGAAGCTTGTCTCAGAAGAGCCGGGGAAATCCTGTGCAGAGTGGTAAAATAAAATTAGTCAGTTGAAGTCGACAATTTAATCATTTTATATGCAAGCACAAGGAGTGAAACAAGTGGGTCTAAGTGAAAAGTTTGGGTTGAAAAGTGGACCAATGAACCCTAAACTGAACTAGTATGGTGTAAATACATTGTAACATCATGACTACAAAGTCAAAGTAAGAAATATCAACAAATCTTGAAAGCAAGACTAAAACTCTGGAAGAAATTTAACTAATATCTGATGACTGGATTCAACAAAACAATAATTCAACCAGACAACGAACCAGACAACGAACCAGACAACGGTAGTTGATGTTTTATTGGCAGAGGGCAAGTTTCTAGTAGGGTCAGATTGAAATTATTCACATCAATAACGAAAATCTCTTCCAGAAAAGCAGTTGGAGCTGTTTTTACTTTGTTTTAGGAGTCTTGGAGGCCAATGTTAGAGATGCAACAATCAATCACCCGGAAACGGAAATTTTAATTCTTCTTTCCATGTTTTGCAGGTGAAATACTAGAAAATTGGATTGGTATTCCTAATACTAATGCACCAACACTAAGAACTCCCACCTTTTTCAGAAAAATATATCAGTAGCTCCTTGTCTAAGTTTGGAAAAAAGCCCAAATATCAGGAGTATACGTTTGATGCATAAATGGGAAAAATTTTGTAATTCCTTCACTTTTGCTACTACTGCTGCTTGTACTGAAGACCCTGCAAAACTGCCATATCTGGTTTGTGTTATAGATAACAAATCTGTTTTACTGCTTCTAGTAGGAAAAATCTCCTGAAACATCACTGAATAGCAGAAGACTCAGAGACAAATCAGTGTCGGTTAACTAGCTATAAAGAGCAGTGATAATAAACTACCAATGATTATAAAATCTTCATTTAAAAACAACAAAATAACATCTTTAAAGTTAATGAGCGACTGAGAGATGTGATAGAACATGTAAGGTCTCTAATTTTCTATGTAATTTAGCAAAAACGTAAAGAAACATTTGGTGTTATCCGTAACTGAATCTAATATATTCCAAAAATAAATTGTGAGCTATCTGCTTATTTGAAGTAGATTATTCTTAACCAGAAAATAAAAGAGGAAAGTAAAAATCAAGAACAAAGTATGAGCAAGACACGAAGGCATACCCAGAGTAGAGCGCCAGGATTCCCTCCTCCTTGCTGATCCTGAGAAAAGCATGGAACATGCCCTTGTAGCGCACCTCTGAGTACTGGCACTGACCCTGGACCTGTAGCCGGGTCTTAGCCAGGTCCACCGGAAATGTTCCTGAAGATGGAAAATAACAGATTAAAATGACAATGAATTTTGAGAGGGATGTTAGCCCCAAATCTTTATTGGGATTTTATGCGACAGTCCAATACAAAGTACAAGGAAAATTGATAAAATTATGGCCCAGTGCAAATACTTTTACAGAACCATGTCAGCTGCAGTTCAAGCTGTAAAGTCTGGGTTCTAGGATTTTGTTCAATCTTCTTTGTAAAAATAGCTTTACCTCAGTCAGCCCATCAGTTTCTGTAAATTGAAGGGCTGAGTTTCATCACAACAAACCCAGGCCTGTTCCCCCATGTCCTTCCAGTGTTTCAGCAAAACCATATGCTATGCCTTTCTCTTAATGTCCTATTGTTTTATTGTTTTTAAAAAGATAGATTTCCCCTAATTGGCCACCTTTTGTTTCTTTTCTTTTACCGTCCATTACCTGATTTTTGTTTTGCTATTGTATCTGAATGTGGTCTTCAGATACAATGATGTGGCGTTGGGCTGTTTTTGAGTGTAAAGTAAGGTTAGCATCAGACCCATTTATCAGTTCTGATCCCAACTTGGACTCTCAGTGGACATTTCGTCTCGTGGCAGTTGGGATGGGGGCCCATTGTCTCCTCCCATTCGTACATTGTTTGCTGTAAAAATAAAAACACTATCTCTTTGTGAGCTCGCCCTCCCATGTGGACCAACTTCCATATATTAGCTTATTAGAGGCAATTGTTGGCTGCCTGGAAACCACCGAGATGACTTCAGATGACTGTAAAACATGTGACCACTTCTTTATAAATGGTTTAGAAGCGGTTACATCAATTGGAAATATATATTTTTTTCAATTTCCAATTGAAATTTTCATGGAAATTTCAATTGGATTTTGGTAAAACTTTGATTGGTCCATTCTATCTTCATTTAGCAGGTTGTTTTTTTATTCAGACTAATACATCTTCCCATGTACTCTGATCAGCTTCTTCTGAATGATTTTTCACTAGTAGAATGGTGTATTAATTATGTCACTTAATTATGTCACTGCTGAAGGTCTTTAGTTGCACTGGATTTAATGTATTGATATCAGTGTAAAAGCAGTTACAAACAATTTCGTATCATAACAAGATATTGTTTACTTTCGTATCATAACAATATGTTGTTATGATACGAAATTTTGCAAATTTTGCAATCCAACACAGTTTTGAATAGCATTAAAATGTGTGGTTTCAATGTAGAAAACCTCAAGAAGCATGGATACTTTTGCAGGCCTTGTATATTCTGATATTAATTATACACAACATTAATTTCCAGTCTAATACTTGAACCTTTCACAACTTTTATAAATATTTATGTTATTGAAATAATCAGTCATAGGATTTTATACATATACAGCTCTGGAAAAACATACTAAACCCCATTTAAAACCTCATGGTTCTTCCACCAAAAACAAATTTCTTAGCTCTTCCTGAGTTAAAACATTAGTATTGTTATTTCTAAATGAGTCTGAACATCTTTTCTTTGCATTATTTGAGGTCTGAAAGCACCGCATCTTTTTTGTTATTTTGACCATTTCTCATTTTCTGCAAATATTTAATTTTTGCTTGGAATTTCAGAGACATGTTGTCAGAAGTCCATAGAATATAAGAACAATGTTCATTTTACTCAAACATATACCTATTAAGAGTAAAATCAGAGAAACTGACCATATTAAGTGGTCTCTTATATTTTTCCAGAGCTGTATATTTGTACAGGAATAATTTTCCGGTTTAGCTAGAGGCTAGCTCTGACTAAAACCTGCTGATATCACATGGAAGATGCAAATTGAGGCTAACTGCCATTCTGCTGTATCTTTGACTTTGTGAACTGTGCACATTATCTATTCCAGACTTATTTTTTAGGTTTATGTTGGATGGCCTTTAAATCTATTTACCAGAATCCATCAGCTTCCCTCTGAAACCAGAGTCATCATCACTCTGCAGGTGCTGCTGCACAATTTCTCATCAAATTTCAGGTGCTGGTAACAATTTATACATACATCTGAAACAAATTAGTAGTTACTGCCCTTTGTATTTACATTAAAATAGACTGAAGCGAGTGTCTGTGTGTATTGGTGCATCAAGTACCGAATTCTGCGACAATCGAGGCTATTCCTCCGTAGATGAATGGCTTCCAGTTTAAGTTGACCATCTCTGTGTCGGCGGCGGCCGCTTCCACCTGCTGCAACCCGGCTAAAAACAAAAAAAGGCCCAGACAGAGGTCAACGCAATGCTGCAGCCTCTGACAGCACAGCATGTCGACAAACATTGAGCTCTGGTGATGCTACAGATCAACAAGGTTCCTCAGCATCAGCATCCCAGCATACTGCGCCGGAAAGAGACAGCGAATACCGTCTGGGGAGTCTCTTATCTTTGGGTCGCGTTCCTATTGGCTGAGAGTTAAAGCAGTCAAGCGGTTCAGCGATTCTATTGGCTGTTTGATTACACCATCACCGAGTCAGTTGAGTGACAGCAAGCGTCACGAGCGAAGTTATTCAATAATAACATAAAACACAACTGAAGTTTCAGATTGCTTACACTTTTAGGTCTTCGAATAAAATTTAAATAAAATGAAATAGTGTTTCTGAAGTATATTTATTACATAGAAGGTTTCCGGCTCCCTGAAGCTTAAGCAGATGGCTGTTACTAACGGTCATTCAGCTAACACTTCGAGGTTACCGGCTGGCAGTTAGGCAGTACTTTGAGCCAAAATGTCCCCTACCTGTTGCGTCGGGAAAAAAAATCCCCAAACCACGGGACTATTTGTCTTTGTTTCCCATAGCCCAATACAGTCCTGTGCAGTGACTTTACCATAGTATAAGCAGGAAAGTTCTCATCTACTGTTAGCTACCCATTTGAGCAAGTGTAAAGGTCCAAATGACTGATGCTCAACTTCCGTTTATACTTTCAAAATAAAATCTTTTCCCCCGAAAAACAGGAACTGAGTCAAGACTACAGCAAAACAGCATTTTCCTGGTTAAATAAAGGAAGGAAAAGTGAGGCGCACCATAGGCGCACAGGTTCTCACTACTGTCCGTCGAGGTGTATTTTCCTAGGTAGTGAAAATCTAACAGTATTGAAACCTTGAGTGAAACAAAGCTAAAATAACAGTGACCACCAGTTCAAGTTGACAGTTTGTATTTTATGAAATCAGTGACATAAACAGCAGTCTACTACATTTATTTGGAACACAGACACAGCACTATTTTGCTATTATCTCATCAGCAGTGGACTCATTTCTTACATAGAAAAGTCTGTTTAATTTATTTATTTACTTTGCAATTTATAATCATTTCCATTCACTCCTTCTATACAAGTGTGTTAAAATTTACATCACTACAACATGTTTTTCCCAAGATTTTGCTTCCTAAAATGACATTCAGATAAACACCTTGAAATGATCCGCCATCTTATATTTTCACACTTCTTTGCAAAATCACAAATCTAACAAAAACAGAATTCAGCTCTTCTCTTAATACAATGTCAAACTCACTGAATAGCTGTTTTTACTTAACGGCTGTAATTAGTCTATATGGAATAAAAAATACCGTTCAGTCTGGAGTGCTACTACAAAATCCGCATCTTAGGAAAGGCACTGCTGCCCATTGAAACTGATGTTGGTTATTATTTCACTCAACCATGTAACTGCTGTTTAGATTTTGTAGCACAAAATGGAAAAGTGTTTCAGGGACCTGTTGCTCATCTGTTAGCTGCTATAAGCTCCTATAAGCAGCCAACAGATGAGATCGTAACAGTGATGGAGGTCATGTTTAAACACTGTGAACCATCTAAATTTGTGTCGGTTAGCCTTTTTTTTATCAGCCTTGATTTACTTTCTTCTGACTTTCTTATAGCCTTTCTTTGTAACTTACAGATAATCCTTCTTATTAGTAATAATGTCTTCATCACCATTGTAGATCTTGTCTTTCTGACCCACTGAATTAGTTTCACATGATAAATTTTGTCTATTATCTCAAACCTACTGACATAATATCTGCTGGTTTTTGGTATAATGTTGAAAAAAATAATTACTTTAGATTTAAAAGAAAAATAACTTAGAGGCCCGAAGTTTGGGTTCAGTTCTCATCCAAACATCCCACTTCAAGAGTAACTTTACTTTTCATTGGATTTTTTTTTTTTTACCTTTTCACATGTCTTTTAAATATGTATTTTAGAAACAGACTCTCGAAAAACAAAATTGTAAATGCTGTAAATTATAAATATAATTGATGTTACACATTCCATCCATCCATTCATTTTCTGATCACCCTTCTCCCTAACGGGGTCGGGAGGTGCTGGTGTCTCTCCAGCTGCGTTCCGGGCGAGAGGCGGGGTTCACCCTGGACAGGTCGCCAGTCTGCCGCAGTATGTTACACATTAAAGATGTCAAAAAAATTATACATCACAATAAAGTAGATCAAATAACAATGTAACTCATCAAAACTTGACAAAACTGAAACCTCTTCACAAACTACGTGAGTTAGAATGTGTCCTCCTGAAGCCCAGAAATTACGAGGTTTTTGTCTGCATAAATCAAACCTTAGTGATTAATGTTATAGAAAAACTGAACATGTATGAATATTTTCACAGGATGCTGCAATGTCTACTCTGGGTAATCCTGCAAACCGTCAAGAAAAGTGATTTGTGAACTTTTCTCTCCTGAACCACACTGATACACTACAAGTTATTCTACCCAGTAAAACATTTTTACTTTGTATTTTAACTGAATTTATTTATTTATTTTGTATTTTTTTGTATTTTAAATGAATTATCTTTCCAACAATTTTTACTCATGAGCAAGCATACATTGTCAAGTGTAGAAAAATAAATCTGTTTTCATCTTCTTGTCTGGGCTTTTGGAAAGCTGTTCGGACAAATATGAGTCAATTCAAACTCTGCAGTACCACACATATTATTCCTCTTTTCTTTTCTCTTCTTTTATTCGTTTGTTCTTGCTCTGTTGGGAGGCATGCTCGCTCACGGTCACAGTGACACAGGAGATCCAGGGTGACTCTTTCGAACACAGGAAGTGGTGTGAAGTCACAGTGTGGTTCTCAGCATTCGGATGACACGCTGATAAAGTTGTTGGAAGACCGTCGACAGACTCCTTAAAAAAATAAGAAACAGTCTTCAGACAGTTTTGTAGGAAGAAAGACTTTATGGAGACGCATTCTTTACAAACTTAATTTTGCCCTTAGTTCTTAATTAAAATTTAAAATGTACTATCAAGATGAAAGAAAGCATATTTAATATCTTTCAATAAATCATGCATACTGTCACTTTGTCACTTTAATGAGGGTCAGAATTCGATTCTATTTTCTAGAAAAGAATTTATTTATTTTTTTACTGGAGGTTTTGACTGAATACTGTAGCTAAATAAGCGCCTGAGGAGTCAGGTTTCTCAGTCTAAATTCAAGTATTCCGACATTAAGCATATGAATTTGACATCTTCAAAAAAAAAAAAAAACACTAGCTGATTGTAGAAGAGGGTCCCTCCATCCTTAGTAAATCTCCAGATCAGATGATGTTTGAATGTTCTCATTGTAGAGAAGGCTGGGCAAAATAATGGATACCTCCAAACCAACCATTAATAATTGTTTAATAAGCTCTCACTATACTATAAAATTGGACAGAGAAATTTGTAAAACTCAACACATTTCTTCAAGACCTCTGGCGCATTAACCAAGTTGCTATTTTGTTGAAAAACCCGCTTAATCAAATCTTACTGTTGTCTTCTGCCCCCTGGTGGAACATCTAAGTCCTACATGTGCCTCGGGCTATTTTGAGAATGTAGAAGGATTATCTTCATCCTTCTGAAGGACAAAACATCAACCAATGACAAATATTAAACAATCAGATGAAGATTCAAAAAATAGTACATCAATGCTAAATTCTGCCATATTTAAGCATCTTAGTAAATTTATAAGATTTGTTAACCTCGTCAGGAAGCTGTACAGCTTTACAATGCAACATGGAACATTGTCTTTGTAGCACCTATGAATGTCCCTGATCCTAGCACATAACCCATGCCAGGGCAGTCTTCATGTGTCAAGCTCCTACAGATAAGATCGTGAGGTGCCTCTTCACAAGAGAAAACATGTCATTTTAATTCACCAACATGGGGAAACTGTAGCAGAGACAAGTTCTATGCAGCCAAAGCTCAAATGTCTGCAACAAGAAATGAAATGCAAACCTCTGTCTAAACTACAGCTGTACTCAAAAGACCAAGTATGCCTCTAAATGTGATAGATGGATAACACCTATTGTCTTTTTTTTTACCTTTCATGCAATGTACAAAATACACACTTTATTTAAAAATAAACAAGGTTAATGAACTCTGTTCTTAATCTGAAACAGCTAAAAACACATTTGTATTATAATTCAAAGAATTTGGAAGGTCTGTTTCATTGTTATTTTGATAAAAACATTTCAAAAAATGTTGACATCATTTTAAAAATGACATTGTTGGAATATCATCACTTGTGTAAGGCTTAAAATACTAAGTGAACCAAATTTATAAACCAATCATATTATTACTTTTCCATAAATCAGCTACCAATCTATGTTTAACTTGCAAAGTGTTACAACATCTTATACTCAACTTATCTGGGCAGTGACGTTCCCTGAAGTTTATAGACGCCAACTTGGTAAACCTGCGTGTTTCATTTATTATTTACTACACTGTGCTGAGCCGACACTTCTTCCATTCTGTCATCACTCTGGCTATGACACTATGGCCCTTGATGGGGTGACACTACAGGAAGTAAGAGCATCCCTGGCGGTGTGAATGTGTGAAACATGTCAGTTGTGTACGTCATTCCAGATGTATTTGAGCCACAATTATTGCCTCTGTGAATTCAACAAAAGTTGTCTGTAAAGGATTCGTCAAACTCACCGTGCTCCCACTGAGACAATATTGCTGCGGTTTGGATGGAGGCAGAAGAGTGAGGCCACACAGTAAACACAGCACAGAAACATGGAGACCAGTCGGCGCTTTAAAGACATTTTCTCTCCTAGCAGAAACATAAATGCAACAAGATTCCTTAAAATCAGTCTCATCCTTAAATCCAACTGTTTACAGATAAATATAACTTTTCCACAGATTAGCAAGTTTTCTGCTCTCTGACACAATAAATTGTAAACACATTCACATCACTTAAACCACCATATTTAATATAAAGCCCATCCAAACAGACATCTTGTGAAATTTGTGGCTGTGACCCAAAACATTGTGAAACATGTTGAGGGGCTGTGAGTAGATTTACAACCCATCATGTGTTTCATGCACTGTTTCTATTTGACCTTTTTTGTGCTTTAGGGTTAGGGGTTGGTAAACAACCGCTTCTTTAGGTCTCTGAAAATAAACTAAATACAGACTGAAGAAAGAAAATCTTTTTTCTACATCACAGGATTCCTGCTTGCAAAAGGACAAATTTTAAACCTTTTTTCTTCACTTTAAAACTTAGAAATAGTCATAAAGATGACAAGACATTACCCATCATAGGTATTTCTCAAAATTGATCAGTTTTCCTTTTCTAAAAAAGCTAAACAAGCTTTATTTGGCTGAAGGGCCCAAATGGCTCTTTGGATTGTAAAGGTTGTAGATTCCTGGTCTACATGATAAAATGTAAGACAACTCCAACATGAAGCAAAATCTAACTTTGCATTAATGCTTTGCACAAACATCATCATCTGCAAAAGATGATGATGACCATCTTTTGCAGAAGATCATCATCACCTTGATAATCCTGTCCAGAAACAAATTTCTCACAGATTGATCTTCCTAAACAGTGGGAATCCTCACGTTGGCTCAGCAGAACTCCAGAAACCAGATCCGAGGTGCAGATGAAACCGCCAGAACCCGTCACAGCCGCTGACCGTTGGTACCAACTGAAAGCCCGGAGCCCTCTGGGTTTCTGCTGGGGACCAACGGCAAATAATGCTGACACATCCTTTTGTTTTAAAAAGCTCCTGAAAGGTCTAGCATGGGGTGAATGACATTCCCACAATGTGCGTCTGCTGGAGTGATTTTGGTGTGTTGATGTGATGGTGAGGGGTGACGGAACAAAGCGACTTCCGTAGCTTTGAGTTTCTGAGTCTTTCACGATTAAATCTTTAAAGTTTGATCAAAACACTTTGATCAGTTTGAGCTACACAGTCACAGACCAGCAGTCCTGCCTGTTGTGACCCACTAAGTGAAGCTGATGCTCTAAACACCAAAATAAATGAGACTGGAGTTTCAAATTCACCTACTTTATGAAAGAAAAATCATTCAGGAATCTTGAACTTTTTCACATTTTTATACACAAAGAGGGGCATAATTGTGAACTGGAAGATTTGTTTTTCTTTTCTTAAATAATAATGGAAAAAATGGGGATGTAAATTCATGGAAAGTCTCCTTTATTCAAATGCTCTGTAATAAAATCAGCTTCTGCATCAATGCAGTGGTGTGAACATTTTTTTGCCCTCTTCACAATTTCCAGATTTTTAAATGTTTTTCACGCTTAAGAGTTTCAGAACATCAAGCCAATTTAAATTTTAGTTGATGGCAGTACAAACAAACACCTAATAAGGCGTTTTAATGAAAGATGTTTATTATTATTGGAGAAAAAATCCAAACCTACGTGGCCCTATGTGACATGACACTTTTGAAAAACACTTTTTCACACTACTGAACAGAGTCCACTTACCCTGATGGTTTGTTAGAACATTAGTGAACAAACAGCATTGTAAAGAAAAGAGATCACATCAGACTCATACAGCACAGGACATGGTGGTAGCAGCATCATCCTATGGGGATGTTTTCTTAAGTAGGAACAGAGAACCTGGGACGCAGCAGGCTTCTACTTCTAAACATTCAATTTAATAATTCTTCATTGCAAACAATTAACATGAGAACTGCTTCAAACATTGTACCTTGTAAAACTGAGGTTAAAAGACATTTCTTATATAAAGAAATAAAACTGGCTCATCTCTTGAGTTTAGAGGCCTTTTCTGGTCTGGATAATTTATAGGTCAAACACTTCCGGGAACCCCGGACAGCTATTGATGAAGACCACTTTAAATGATTACAGCAAGCCTCTTTAAAGGGGAGGTTTAAAGAAATGAGCAATGATTTAAGATGTTTATGTTGTAAAAATGACTCTCTTTCTGAAGATTTAATCATAAAAAATAACATAACAGCAAGAAGAAAAAAAACAAACATAATAAATCTCCTCAACTCTCATGATTCAGTTTACACAGAGCTGTGCTGGAAACCATATAAACAGAAATGAAGCCATTTAGTTTTAGAATCTCCACACAGCCAGTGATGAGAGCTCATCTTGATAAGAATTTTGCTGATTACGGCGTTTTGTTTTTCACCAACCTCTCTGCCGAAGCTTGAGGAGGAGGAGGACTGATGTCAGATAATGTAATGAATGTGTGCAGACAAAAAGCATCATTAGCTGGGTCTATTTGTGTGTGAATCCTAGTGGAAAATGGTCCCATTATCCCAGATGTCTCTCCTGAGGGGCCAGGGGCCAAAACAACAGCAAATAGAGGTTACACTTTAACTTTTTCAGATCTGCATGGCACACTTTTCCTGGCTGTGTTTTTACTGTACTTTACATTAATCCAGATCATTTATTGCTGTTTGATAAATTATTCTCAGCAGTCTGACAATACTAAAAGTGTATTGTCAGTTTTTGAGATTTTCAAAAATATTTTTTTGCTGAAGGCTATTGTTCTTACTGACCCTCAAACATAACAAATTGAGGAGTTATGTTACATTTTGATTCAAAATGTATCATTATAATGATATATTATGTTTCTATTAGCTGATGATCCAAGCTCGTAGTTCAACACCACAACTTTTTACTTCATACTTCTAGATAATTTTCATGAGAATAATTCACACCTCTTGAGCTGTAGCTTTGATGTAAAGGCAAAAGATGAAATTTGTAATTTTGTGCTGAAGCCTCTTCAGTCACTGAACAGCTATTATCCCCCAGGTCACTATAGCAACAGCTGAGACCTCACCTCACAGGTTAATGTCAAACAAATTTGCCCCAATTAAACCCAGTGTTGGTGATGTCATCAAATGAGATGAACCCTGGTTATTTACTGGCTGTTGAAGTCCCTAGCATCCCTGAATCCTTTTATTGACGTTACAGTTTTATGATTTTAATTTTTTAGTTTTTATGTGAAGTGATATGTGGCTTGTGATAAATAAATAAATAAACTGTATTAATGTATTTCTGCTTTTCAGAAATTCAAACTAATAGGCTATCCTCTTATTTGAAATAGATTAAACTAATCATTTCAATCTCAACAACAAAGCTTTATTGAAAAAATGCTGCTGGTCAATGTTTATAGCTGGGATGTTTTTTTTGATCATCCCAATTATTTTCAATCTATGAAGAGACTGTACTAGTAGATGTCATAGATGGCAGTATGCAGACTGATGATTGGATGACCAACATTGAGGTTCAAATCTTTTCATCAATTGTGGCATTAGAATGTATGGTATAAGCTGGATGGACCAACCCACAATAAACAAATACACTGAGAAACTTTGGGGAAAACGGCCACCAAAAGGTGTGGAAATGAGAGACGGAGAAACAGAGACAAAAAGACTAATTCATAAAAAAGGAAGAAGACAAAACACAGCAAGGATTCAAAAACCACTGGAGTAAAAAACATAAGTAATTAATAAGAAACTCAACACAAAGGAATAAACTTGAATGTCAAAACCGTAATGACAAGAACGAAAAACTGAATGTGGCACGAGCTTTTAAACAATAGTAAGAAAGGAAATAATCAGAAAACCAACATGAACGAAAACTTATGGATCACAACACATCCAGGTCAAGAAAACTGAAGCCTCAAGTAAAACAACACATTATAGAGTATGATATGAAATAAAGGGACATTTCAAATGCAATCCACAAGGGAAGGTGTTTGTCTGAAATATATGAGACAAAAATGTTTTGTCTCATATGTTAAATCCACAAGACCTCCAGGTAATAAATAGTTAAAAAGATGTCATGGGTTTAAAGATGGCAGAGCAGGATTCAGACACAGCTTCATGCTCTTCCTCAGGATCACAACTGCAGTTTGCACCGATTTCATTAGTTCATAAAGGGTATAAAATTTAACCAGCTCAGTTTAAAACAGAAAAAAAAACAAGAATGATTCAAATGAACGTTTGTGAATACACTAAAAGCTCATAATAAAAACAGATATCGTCACTTGTGGCAGAGAGCCAGCAAGCAGGCGGTCAAGGCTCAGTGTCAGAGAGACAGAAGTAGCAGAGGGGTGTGTTTTCATCTGCTGGTGGGGATCTGTGTGTGTTTGAGGGAGGAGGGCACAACACAGACCTGCTGATAACATCAGGACCATCTCTGTCCTGCTAGCATTTATTGATGGGAAACTCTAGAACCAGATGTTGCAATTAACTTTGAGAGCAGAAGGGTGTTTTAGGAAAAAGTTAATTTGGATATTTTGGGATCGGTCCGCAGACGACAACACTGGATTAACATTAGGAGACATTCTCGGATACCATTCTTTTTTTTTCTTTTAGCAATTTCTGGAAACCTTTGATCATGTGTTCAGCAATGCTTCCTCTGATCTATACAATCAAGAAAAGCTTGATGTGACTGAAAATGATCAATCTGGGAGTGATGCCATCTGACTTTGGGCTTTTTTCTTCATTTTGAATCAATATGCCATATTTAACTGGACAAACCAGCACAGAGCCTTCTGCCAGCATCACTTCTGACTTCATGGACCAACTAACTGTCCAAACTGAAGTGAGGCCTCGGGTGATGGGCTTTGTCCTGACCATCTCTGCTCTCCTCATTGTCTCCACCAATCTGCTGGTGGGCTCTGCTCTACTGAAGCTGCTCCTGAAGCGAGGATGTCAGAGCTGGTGTTTTGTCCTGAACTTGGCTCTGGCTGATACTCTGGTGGGTGTTGCCATCACTGGACTGGCCACAGAAGACTTTAACAGCAAATTTATTCAGCAGCGCAATGGTTATACTGTGATTTATCCTCCTACAAACGGTACACCTCCTGCTCCTCAGGGCAAGACCCGATGTTTGCTGCGAATGTCCTTTGTGACGTCCCCCTGCATGGCGTCCATCTTGACTATGTTCCTCATCTCACTGGACCGCTACATGGCCATCAAGATGCCCCTGCGTTACTCTCTGATGTCTGGAAAAGGGAGGACAGCCGGGTCTTTACTGGCTGTGTGGATCAGTTCCTTCACTATGGGATTTTTACCAGGTGAGGCTCAGCAATTAATCCTTTAAATACTAGAAAAAACAGATGGAGGGTTTTCTGTTACGTCAAGTCAAGTTTATTTGTAAAAGTTGGCTCAAAGTCTTTTACATCATAAAAACATCACCAGTTAGAACAAACAATGAACATTACATTTTGCCAAATATAATTAAAACTATCAAGCAAACACACATCAAATATTTGGATCAATATCCTAGTTATTACTAATCAAAGACAGCTCTTAAACAGGGAGGTGGGCTGTGGTTAGTTTTGTTCAGTCCTGGTGACATCATAATGTAGAGCTGTGTATTATCTTTGTAGTTATGGTAACTAATTTTATTTCTTGTCGTAAGCCATGTAAGGTTAAAGTTGTCCACTAGATTACAGCAAAAAGTCAAAGGAAGTATATTGTACATGCTCAGTGGTGATGTGATGTCTGGTTTGCTATGACTTATGAACAATATGTTTAAGTCCTTCAGCTGCAAATCAGAAAATAATTGTAATGTCTTAACTTTGTGCAAGAAGGCGAGACAAGCTACTTTTACAAGTCAACAAGAGTGTCTTTGTGAAAGAACATCATGAAAAAATTATTTTCCAACTGTCACATATATAAATGTGCAGAACTTTCTAAAAGCTACTGAAAT